TAGTAGCTCAATATACGAGCCAAGTTGTATGCATGAGAAAGCACACTCTGCCAAGGCGAGTTATGCCAGAAGAAGCACACCCGAGCTCCACCACATGTATGTAGAATGACCAATTGGCAGCCTCACCTAGTAACATCATCATCACACACAACTGTCCTATCAATTAGTGGACCATAGGCTTCCTCCATGCATCAATAACGTGGCGCATAAGTCACTTGTATGTGCCCCAGCTCCAAATGCCTTGGTCAATTTCCAAGTGTCTAACACCTCTCTGATGCATATCCCTTTGGAACTAGAACATATTTAAAGGTTAGTTTCTCATTCATTATACACTTTTAGCCTCATTAATTTCTAGTTTTAACACCTCAAACAGCTTGACCCATACTAACTTACTTGTTGGAGTTTCAAGCCTGATATATCACCCTGTGCCCCTTGACTTCTCTTTCTCTTGTAGGTACCCTACCGACCTTCAAGCTACCTCTGACTCAGTGCAACGACTTTTGATCTTCATTAGTCAATAACTTGTCATGCTTTACTTTTGAGGATCTCATCCCACCAATCTTTAAGGTTTATGGGTATCATTCTAATTCGGGTATGGATATGATTTCCAACTATTCTCCAAACTTGGGAGGATACAGGGCAGTTAAGAAGGATATGAACCACATCCATAGTCATTCCACAAGATTTGCATTATGGGTCAATTTTGAATCTTTTTTTTTATGAAGGTTCCCTTTAGTGGGTAATTCATTTCTAATCGCAAGCCATAAAAAAATTTTTGATCTTAGAAGGCATGCTATTTTTACAATTTTCTCGAGGATCATCTTTGTTTTCCCGTCAGACTATATCTTGTTATTAACAAGATCATAAGCTGATTTAACTTAAGTGCATGTCTATTTTATTATGGTTCAGTTTGATTTTCGGGAAGTTACTTACCCAAGTAAATGCACTTATTCGAGTAAGGGCAAGTGTTTCCTAGGAAATGCTTATTCAAGTAAGTGCACTTACACATGTTCTTTTATTTCCGACCAGGTAAATAAGACAATGATCATTTTAGCCATAAAAAGCCATTATTAAAAGGGGCAATTTTGTCCCATCCAAGTGTTGGCAACTTTCCCCCTAGGTTGGAAAATTACTTACACACTTGGAATATGGCCATCATTAATCTAGGTAAGTGATACCTAAGGAAATAAATTTTCCATGGACCCCACACAAATATGAAAAAGAACATAAGTATCTTGGTTAATGAGAACCAAAATCCCATTAACCAATTTTCCACCTCTCGAATGAAATGGATATCCAGGCTTTAATTTTCTCATGGCTAGTTAAAAAGGAAAGGTGAAGGATTGATCTTATTAAAAAAGTACAACAACTACAGCTACAAGCCCTACAACAACCTTCTCGTATATTGGTAATTTGCTAAAGCTAAAAAAAAAAAAATAAAGAGCCTACAAGATAGGAAAGAGAACAAAGAGAACAAAAAATGCCGGTAGTTGTTATCTAAATTCATTTCCATTAGTAATTAGTAATTAATTGCTAAGATGTGTATGAAACCAAGGTTTTAAAAACCAACCCATAACTATAACTATTTTGGGCATCAGTTTTCAGGTCGATGATGCAAGCTTTGGAAAGCTCATGGCCAGCTCAACGAAATGGAGTCACCACCCATTTTTTAGAGGAAATGGGCCTTCATTTTTATATTCAAAAATCGATTTACTTGCTTTGATAGTGACTCCGCTCTTTGCCAAAAAAGGGACCTAACCAATAAATTTTGGATCCCAAGGATTGGGAGAGGAAAGGTGTTAGGCACCCCTCTCTCCAAGCTGCTATAGCAACCTAATATGGGAGTTGACTAGGCTCTATATCTAACCAAACACCAATAAAAAGGGTTGCTTAATGCTCCAAAAATTAAGTGAAAATGCTCTCAACCTTACCTAGAATTGATTTGAGATGATGTTATCGGGTCTTAGGTACTGATTTCCCTAAGACCTTCGCCTCTCGTCCTCTTTTTCTCAATTTGGATAAAACCGGGAATGCAAGCTTCCCATGGTTTATGGACCTCAAGCAACCTAAAACTAAGCTGAAAACAAAGATTTATGAATTCAAACTTAGAAAAAACGATAGAATGAGAGACTTACTTCTCGTGTACAACCTTGATGGGAGTTTTCCAACAATGGGAACAAGTTCAAAGAAACTTGAATGAGATATTGGAACGGATGGTTTGCTTTTTTGTTTCAAATCTCGTAGCTCGAGTTGGATCAATATTTATAGAGAAAGGAAGGGGGGGGGGAGTTTTGAAATTCATCCAATCACAAAGCTTGGGCTTCAAGCAAGGTTTTATAAGAGAATGGGCAAGGATTTTTCAAAGAGAATGGTGATCAATCAACTTTTCCGCTTTGGTGAAACATTGTCTTCAATTTGGGGGTGGTTTTCACGAGTTTTGTGCGCCTAATGAGAGCTTGGGGCGTGTTGGATGTTGCAGTTCCGTATTTGGGCCTGATAATGGCAAAAATGTAAATTTAATGAACTTTTAAAAGTTGTTGTCTTTTCTTAGTTATAAAGTGGGGGTATATTTGAGTTATTTGGACTTTTTGGGTCTATTAGGCTCAATTTCACTGGTCCAAGTGTTTAAATAGGTCAAGAATGGGTCTGACATCAGCCATCACACTTTAGATGTTTTAGATTATGATAGATGAGGTAGTGATTCGATTTAGCACGTCGAAATGGTATTTTCCTAGTTTAATAGTCAAACAGGCGAATTAGGTCATGAAATTTGACGTGCTAGGTTTTTTTGGGTATTTTAACATAGTGGTGAGGTCTGATTGGCCAAATAGGGTCGAGATGATAGATATCTATGGCAGACAAGTTTGGATTAATAAAATTTGTTAAAATAGAATATTTATTTGATAAAGGGTTAAACAAGGGAGTTTTGGCATGAAATTTGGTGGGTAGTCATTTTTGAGTGTCCTGAATCTGATGGAAGTGATGGATCTTTGATCAGAGGTGTGGATTGATAGATTTGGTTTGGATTTAGGTATTGGCCAATGGTTTGTCAATAAACGAGAAGGCTTGAAATAGAATCTCACTTTTTTAATGGTTAAATGGAGGAGTTGGGTCATGAAATTTGATGTGCTAGTTTTTTTTTTGGTCTCTAAACACAATGGTGAGGTCTGATCAGTCAAATGAAGTTGGAATGGTGGATGATAAGCTCTAGTCGATGAGATTTACTGAAATAGGATCTAAGCTTTATGATGGGTCAAATGAGGGAGTTTTAGAATGAAATTTGGCAAATAGGCACAGATTAAGGTGAAGAGTCAAGTGGATGTTTCTGACTTAAAAGAGAAATGGTTCATCTAGGTTTTCTAAATCATGGTCATTGGAATAGAATTTTGGCGCTTTCAAGGTTGATCATTGTAGACTTGCGGTGAGATTCTCTAGTTGATTGTATCTTAGTGAAAATGAATATATTGGATTAGAGCCACGAGAAAGAAAGTTGGTGTGATGATTGGTGAGTTTCATAAGTCTGTAGGCCATATTCGATTGGACGTCGATGTTGATTTTGAGGTTTTCATTTATCCTGTGGATCATGTCAAAAGATGGATTTTTGGCTTTGTAAAGTCTCAATTTGATATAGTTGTGTTTCCAAATTTTGGGGTCTAAGAGTAGAGTACAAAGAGGTATGGTGAAGGGATCAAGCAAAAATTGGGTGCTGACAGATGGTTCGAATGGATAACTCGTTCTAATGAAAAAAAAATTAAAATACAATTAAAATATAAACAACCAAAACCGTTGAACATGTTGACTGTTCGACTGCCTAAATCAACGAGTTGTTGACCAATTCAACGGTTTTTGGCTAAGGACCGATTTTGGGGTAAAACAAAACTGGTGGCTTAGAAAGTTCCCATACTAAATAGTCTGACCATCTTAATCAACAATGGTTCGAAAACATTGTATGAATCTATTAAACCATCCAATCAATAATAATGACCTCCAAATATCATAAACTCAAGTGATTAAAAAATCATTTTATCTTAATTCATTTCTAATTGTAAGGCCATGGTGTTGGTGATTTAGGACTTGGCTGCTGATGACATTAGAGAAAGGGAGAAAGAGAGACAAAAGAGGTCCCAAAATGGGCATGGAATCCCATTTATAGAGTTTGAGTGGGTTAGAAATTAGAATATGGAAATTTCTCCGTCCAGATCTTGTTCTCTTTTACAATTTTACCCTTTAATCCATTTATTTAACGCACGTGTTTTTTATTCGTAGCTTAATTTAAATGCCTTGCTCTTTCTAGAATATTCTATCATTTAATTAAGATACATGTTGATTTATTAATGTTATAAAATGTCTAATACTTAAACCCTTAATTGATTACTCTAAAAATGGACTGGTCTGACCTGAATCAGCCGAGTCTACGTATTTATACAATGCCACTATCTTAACACTAATAGTACCACGTTTTGATCAATTCATAATGCTGGCAGTGGCAATTAGACCCATTCGTGGGCCAGGTAACCCAATAGATTGGCTCTGTTCGGCCCAATCTCGAACCTAGCCCAATATTATTACATATAATAAAAATATACATTAATTATATAATATATATATATATATATATATTATTTTATTAAATTATATTATAAATAAAGTATTTTATGTGTAGACCGAGCTTTGGTCTTTAGAAAAAGGTTGGGCTTGTGCTTAAGATTTAGGCTTCATGATTAGGCCGGGCCTGGACATTTTTTTTTATAAAGTGGCAAAGCGTGTCCCACCCTGTCCACAGGTCTAGTAGCATTAGGGATGACCATGGGTCGGGCCCGGGCTAGGCTTAACAGTTAACACGCATGCTAAGAGCTATAATTCGGGCCTTGTTAGGTCTAGCCCTCACCAGGCCTCCGCCCAAGCCCACTGCTGAGTGGGCTAGAAATGTTTCACTGGCTCACATCCCACTGCTGAGTGCTGGCGAATGGCGGCATAAGCAACCCCTATAAATTGCGAGACGGATTAAATGAGATAGTTCTGTATGCCGTCCGAGGGAGAGGAGAGCCAGAGGAGTATTTCGAACAGAACCTTCGAGAGACTGGAAGCTTGCGAGCGATAATGGAGGGAGTATCTTACCAGCGATTCCCCAAAGTGAAGATTAGAGAGATGAAGGACGACTACCTCAAGTTCGATCTCCGGGAGACAGACGCAAGCATGGCCAACGCCCTTCGCCGCGTCATGCTTGCTGAGGTACCCACTATTGCGATCGACCTCGTCGAAATCGAGGTCAACTCCTCTGTTCTCAACGACGAGTTCATCGCTCACCGCCTCGGCCTCATCCCTCTCACCAGTGACCGCGCCATGGGCATGCGCTTCTCTCGTGACTGTGACGCCTGCGACGGCGACGGCCAGTGCGAGTATTGCTCCGTCGAGTTCCACCTCAAAGTCCGCTGCGACTCCGACCAGACCCTCGACGTTACCAGCCACGACCTCAAAAGCTCCGACCCTTCCGTCGTCCCCGTCGATGTCGCCCAGTACGCAGAGTCCGGTGGTTACGACGCTTCTGAGCAGAGGTAGCTCTCAAATCCGGCTGCCCCTTTCAAGTTGTAGATAATCTTCTAAATCTAAAACCCTAAGCCCCTTTTGTGTAGTTTCAGAATTAAGCAACGTTTTCTCATGTGGGTTTTCCTCTAGGGGTATACTTATCGTGAAATTGCGTCGTGGGCAAGAGCTGAGACTGAGAGCGATAGCTAGAAAGGGGATAGGAAAAGACCATGCCAAGTGGTCGCCTGCAGCCACTGTGACTTTCATGTATGAACCGGAGTTCCATATTAATGAAGATTTAATGGAAACACTGACACTTGAAGAGAAAAGAGATTGGATAGAGAGCAGCCCAACAAGGGTTTTTGACATTGATCCCAATACTCATCAGGTAGGTTAATTCTGTTCTTTACTTGTTATTTCTTTCTTCTAGTGTTGTGGTCGTACCGGTAAGACGACAATGAAGATTCCAAGTATATTTGTGGTGTGTTCTCCAGCCGGAGATTTGTGTGTGAGTGCATAACAATCTTTTTCCTGAAACATTCAAGAAGAAATGTTTCTAGTGGTGAGTGCTTCTTTTGATGGCAGATAAAATGAAACTTGTTTTGGGGGTTGCAGAAATGATACGTTGACGACTTCATTGTAGTTTTGTGCTACAGCTTGCTTTAAAGGGTTACGAATTGAAATTAAGATTAATAATTAGCAACAACATCTCCTGGGGAATACCAGAGATAATTGCTTGGTGAAACGGCAAAATCTTGGCCTTTCAACCATGGGAATGTGGGTTTGAATCTTAGAGTGGTGATTTTGTTGGTTTGTGCTTAAAATGCTAGATGTTAGGTCTGTATCCAATTTAATTTAGCCTTCCCTAAACCCCATGTAAACCGGGACCAACATTGGGTAGTGGATTTTTTTTAATCTCCTCCAGAGGAGTGCTCTTAGGCTGTGTTTGGTTTGACAAAGAACAAGAGAGAAACACAAAGTTGAGGAAAAGTTCTCGGGGGATTTTACAAAATCAGAACTTTCCCTCAACTTTCTCTTTCTTATTTTTCTATCAAACGATTCAAACCAAACAGTTTTGTTAGAAAAAAAAAAGAAGTAGCATTTCATTCAAACAGCACAGGAGAGATGTACATGAGAATATGTACAAAAAAGCAGGGCTTTGTTACAAAAAGACTAAAAACTCACTCAAGCCGTAGGTAAACTATTTGCACTATACAAAAAGCCTCTTCTATCAAACCAAACGTGGTCTCAGTTAAAACTGGAAGGATGAATCTTGGTTAAGAAAGATACACTTTTTCCAAGATTTTGCTGTTCTGATAATTGTGTAATTTTAGGCCATTGAATATGTAGACACATTTTAAGGTTGTGTTTGGTACCATTGATGTTTCAGCTTACAATATTTCGAGTTTTAACACCGTTTATACTTGAAACACAAACACTGCTGTTTGTGGTGAGTATCTTCTGTTATTCATCCATGTCAGCACCACATCAGTCAGGGTGTTGAGGCTTTGATTTCCAGAGCAGGAATCATCAAATTGGTGCTTCTTGAAACACCCTCTTAACAGTTTTATGATTGTTTTAACTCAAAAGAGTCTCCAACCAAACAGCCCATTAAACTCAAAATGCCTATGTGGCACTGATGCAGCAGCTTTACAACTCAAAATTGACCAAACAGCCCTTAAAATCATCAGGAGCTTTCATGAATCCTGATGCATTTCAGTTTTGATTGTGCCTTCCCAGTTACTACAAAAATGGTCTTACATCAAATTTCGGGTTTCACAGGTTGTAGTGGTTGACCCTGAGGCATACACTTACGATGATGAGGTGATAAAGAAAGCAGAAGCAATGGGGAAGCCAGGACTTGTTGAGATATATGCCAAAGAAGATAGTTTCATTTTCACTGTTGAATCTACTGGCACCATTAAAGCTTCACAGATGGTGATCAATGCAATAGAAGTGCTTAAACAAAAATTGGATGCAGTCCGGCTGTCAGAGGAAACTGAAGAAGCTGATGATCAGTTCGGTGAACTGGGTGCACACATTCGTGGAGGATGATTGGTTTGATCGCTTAAAGGCAACATTACATGCAGAAGAAATTTTTTTGGTTGAAACTATACTTTATTGATATTGATAAAAAAACAAAAGGAAAAAACTAGGATTAGTTAACCTGAATTTCTGAGCAATGTAACAAGTTGTATAGGGTGGAAGATGCATGAATGAACCCAGGTTTTTTTTTTTGGTAGATTAATTGATCTTCTTTTGAGGGTAAAGGTTGTATTAAATTGAGATTAAACCGTGCCTATCTAGAAGTTTTTGATTTATGAAATGTTGGACTCCATTCTATGCATGCTTCGTGGTTCCACTTTTATAAGTTTAAGGGTCCAATTCTTCACAACAAGAATGTGTCTCCCTTGACGAAAGAGAAGGGTTTTGGAGCCTCTCGTATATTTCCTTCAAAAATGTCGAGTTGGCTCAATTCTTCGGCCTATTAAGTCAAACCGAGTCATTGTCTCACTGAGTTGCTCTCTTCATTGTTAAATCATGGTCCATGGGTTCGTAAATCATTTCTCATTGCTTTAACTCATTGAGTCAAGCCGAGTCCCCTCAACCATCGATTTAAGACCAATAACCCGCCTGACTCAATTCGGTAGTCCATCTCTCTTCTCTCACTGCATTTAGTTGAGCCTACTAGTACTGGATGGCTATGATCTGATGGAGCGACCTAGTTGAACACCATGGGCATGAGTAGGATACTCATGTCGGAATGACAACATCTGTTGGATTTAAGTACCAACTACAATACTGGCCCGACCAACGCATCTAGCGACGCCACCGCAGCAGCGTCGAAGAAAGGTATTGACCATGGTTTTCAAAACCTGACCGGACCGGATGGCTGGATTTTTCTCAAAAATGTTGATTTTGGTCCGCGAATCATTGAACCGGGCAGTTAATTGTTTTCGTTCGAATGGTTTTGACTTTATTTATTTTTTTGAATTTTTTTTGTCATAATGGGTCGAGTGTTCGGTTCGAACAAACCGTTCGACCCGGTAATTGGACCCCTAACTATGAAATTTAAATATAAAAAATATTAATTGATAGTTTTAATAATATTATTAGATAATTTATGAGTTAAGACCTTTATTGTGCATAACGAACTCATTAAAAATGATACAAATTAATGAAAATTTAAAATGCATAACCCATTTTATTAACAATATGTTATTGCAAAAATTAATGAATAATAATGAAAAAATACCAACAATTAATTAAATTTAAGAAATTTAAATATAAAAATATGAATTGATAGTTTTAATAATATTATTATATAACTTTGTATTAATGGATTTTTAATTTGATGGAGGATGATTTGACCCGACCTACTGAGATGGTGATGCGTGGACCTGACTCAGCACGAGCGACAACTCAGCATTATGGCCTGATCACGACTAAGTAACGAGCCTGTAAAGCAGTTCGCTACGTCATAGCTCGTTGTAGGGGGAACTCGCTACAACGTGAGCTCCAAGTCCCCCGAGCTACCAAGAAGGGAATACTTCAAGACTATTTCAACTCGCGAGCTAGGGTAACTAGCTCGCTCCAACACTTAGGCAAAAGAACTGCCCCAAAGACAATCTCAATGAGGGCCATCTCGAAGTATCCCTAGGAGCTCGCTACAAGGTAGCTTGCGGCAAAGATAGCTCGCTACGCGACAAGGTAGCTCGTGACTAAGCAACGCGACGCTCTCAGGAAGCTTCTATCTAACAAGACCGTACCCGTCAGACTGCACCACGTCTCTCGACGACAGCACAGTTCCTGCCCATTTGACAGTCTGCACCCATGTCTCTCGATAGATGGTGGCATGCCTGTCCCTTTGGGATGTGTCATTCATCTAAGTGGGTAGTACACTATAACGATCACCTGCGCAGTCCTGGCAGGTAACAGCTGCGACAGGAGACCAGTGGCAGTTACGCCCGATTTGACAAGAACGCCCCTATAAAAGCCCTTTAACCGAAAGGGAGATGACTCTCTCGAATTTGATTTGAACTTGAATTCTTACTTACTCACGAGCTAATCTTGAGACACAGTGATCTAGTGCGACCTACACTCTCAGCCTTTTATACTCTTTTCTTCCTCCCCAGCGTTCTAACTTAAGATTCGGAGTATTCCCGCCAGGCAAATCCCTCGGGAATCCTTCACCTTCGTCTTCTCAGGTACCGTTCATTGCCAGCAAGGAGCCAGTCAACAGCCAGCTATGAGTGCCCGGATCGTGCCGCATCATAATTAATTAATAATTTTTATGAGTTGAGACATTTATGCATAATGAACTCATTAAAAGTGATAAAAAATTAATGAAAATATAAAATACAATACCTGTTTTATTAATAGTATTTTATTGCAAAAATTATTCATATGTAAAAATTACTAAATAATAATGAAAAAATACCAATAATTAATTAAAAATATACAAAAATTTGAAAAAAACTAAACATAATTAAAAAATATTGAAAATTAACAATATTTTATATTAATAAGGGTATTTACTGAAAATCATTAAAAAGTACAATTAATAGTATTTTATTATTAAAAAATTCCAAAGATTATTAAAAAAAATACCCAAGCCAAAAATTATTGAAAAATATTGAAAATTAGTTGTATTTTTTATTAACTATTGGTATTTATTTAGTTATTTAATTTATTTTTACTAAAACAAATGCAAATTAATTTTGTAGTGAATAATATGCAAAATAAATTTTGAAAATACTGAAAATTATTGAAAAAATACTCATATGCAAAAATTACTGAACAATAATGAAAAAATACCAAAAATTAATTAAAATTTTGAAAGTTCTAAAAAACCTAAAGCTTAATTAAAATACTAAAAATAATAAATTAAATTAATTGTATTTTATTGGAAAAAAGTACTAAATAATAATGTATTTTAATTATTAATAGTAATATAATTAGAAATAATTATTTTTAAACTATGTTTAACAGTAATTATAATTTAAGCTAAAATAGTAGAAAATTACATTTAATTACCAAAAATTTATATTTAATTAGTTTTATCCAAGAAATTAGCAATATTTTTTAAAATATGGTAATTTTTAGAAATTACTGTATTTTAAACTTAACCTAACCCGACTAGGTTTAGGTAATTAGAAATTACTATATTATTAAATAAATATAGTAAATTAATAATTACAATATTTTAATAATTAATAATAAAAAGTAACAAATCATTTATAATTTAACCTAACCTGACTAGGTTTATAAATTTTGCTAGCTTAAGCAACTATTTTTTATAGTTAGGTTTAGGTGAGATATCTACCATGCCCACATATTACCAGGGATAATCATATTCGAAGTCTAATTAGGTATCCAAGTTTTGGAGTCCAATGATAGTTTTAGCGGATAGAGCCCAAGCTAAACAACCCCTAATAAGCTCATCTTGGAAGTTATATGCATATATGATAAATATTATTATATAATATTTAAATAACAAATTATATATATATAAGTGATATATTTTTTATACTATACTATAATTAAATAAAAATTTTAATTTGTAACAGTTTTATAATTAACACAGGCATCTTTATCAACAAAAAATGTGCAAGCCCAAGCTTGAGCCTAGCCCGACCATTGGGCCTAGATCTTGAGCTCAAGTCCAACCCTTATAAAGAGTCTGAAGCTCGAGCCTAAGGCCGAAGCCTAATCTGTACACAAAATGTCTTATTTTCAATATACTTTTATAAACTAATTTTGTATTAATTTAGTAATAATTTAATAAATTAATAAACTAGTTTATATTTCCCAATAGTAAATTGATATTTATTAATAGTTTAAGAATCATATATGTATATTATATATAACATAAGTGTTTTTTTTATATATGTAATAGTATTGGGCCAGGTTTATTTGAGAAAGCCCGAGCTCGAGCCCACAAACCTAAAATTTTGTCAAAGCCTAAAAGATAATAAGTCAGGCTAGGCTGGGCCGTCGGACTACCGACCCATGAATAAGTCTAATTGTATATATAAACAATTGTATACATAAAAAATCATATGAAATAAAAACTTAAACATCTTTTTCAAATTAAAAAAAAATGGACCACTCATAGCTTAGCCTAGTCCACTACCTGGCATGGCCTGGCTTAAGGCTCGGCCCATGGACTAACCCGGCCCACGGCACGACATGGGGTTGTGCGGGCTTAGGCTGTGTTGAACCAACCCCCCAAATTATCCCAAGAGAGGGAGGCATGGCTTGAGACGCCCTGTGGGCTAGCACGGCACGACCATGCGGCCCACAGGGTCGGTTCACCACGATCCAATTTACACCTCTAATTGAACCCGCCCAATACTAGGGATGGGGCGGGGAAATTTGAGGATTCCCCATCCTTGATGAGGAGTGGGGTGCCTTGCCTTTGAACTCGTCCAACATCGAGGAGTGGTTGCCTTGCCCTGAACCTGTTTGACACTGGGATGGGGTAGAGTGTCTTGACTATTGGGCAAGGAGAGGGATGGGATGTCCCGCCCTGAACCCAACCCGTTGTCATTCCTATATAATTGTTAATTATTAGTGAAATTAATAAAAATGTTAACATTTGTAATTTTTTTATTTATTTAAAGTTAATCAAAATTTCATTTAAAAATAATAACATTTATTAAAATAGTATAAATTATTAATAAAACTAAGTTTATTAAAAAATATTTGTTCATGTTAAATTAATAATAATTATTTTATGCAAATCAACATTAAAGAAAGATACTATATTAATTTTAGATATTAACAACAACTTTGAATATTTTTAGTTAATTAACAAAAAATTTTTAGAGGAAAGTACGGACTAAATGTAGATTTCTAATTTCCACGAAGAGCTATAAACATTCAAAATGTCAACAATCCACCCGTAAATTGGTATCAATTCCGGCCTACACCTATTTTGGGCCTATAAATTATGAGCTGTGCTGAACTGTCATTCTCTCAAATTTTTAATATTAACTAATAATAAATAAAATTATTAAATCTTTCAAATTTCCGTACATCGCACGGGTTGTTAAACAAGGGGTAACATCTTAGCACGTGTCACCCTTTCGATTTGCTGACGTTGCATTCCCGCCAAAACCACTCCACTCATCTCTTAGTTCCCGCCAGGAACCCTAAGAGAAGAACAACGAAATCGGTCACAAACTCATAACTCTCTCTGCCTCATCTCTCTCTCTCTCGTTCGCTCGCTTGATCGCTGGAGATTTGTGATAGGGAGAAGAAATGGATGTCAGCGAAGAAATCATGGCTGCTCACAAGCGAACTTTCATGGAGTTCTTGGATCAAGATGTAAGCCTATCGATCTACTCCCCATCTCTCTAACTATCTGTTTGTATAGTTGATATGATAACAATAAAAGAGTTAATGTAAACAGGTAGGGAAGGGCATATATATGCAAGCTATTAGGGATATGATCGATCTGAAGCGCCGGCGTCTCATCATCGACATCTCCGATCTCCACGACTTCAACACCGAACTGGCTCGTAGGTCAGTCTTCAATTTCTCACCAGTCTTTCCCAAAACCTGCTTGATATATTTTTTTTCTCTTTATTCTATCTCACTCAAATTTTTTTGTTTGTCTTTGAATGAATGAAACTTACCATTTTTGTCTTTCTCTCTCCCAGGCTCCTGAAGAATCCGAGTGAATACATCCAGCCGTTCTCCGATGCGCTGACAGAAGTGACACGCAACATTGATCCGAAGTACCTGAAGGAAGGGGAACAAGTTCTCGTCGGCTTCGAAGGTCCCTTTGTTTCCCGCAGAGTCACTCCCAGAGAACTTCTCTCCTCCTTCATTGGTTCCATGGTCTGCGTCGAAGGCATCGTTACCAAATGTACTCTCTACCCCCTCCCCTTTTTCTGTATGAGACAAATACTGCGTCGTAATTCTGTCTTGTTTAACAAGAGTTTCTAGTTCTAAGCGACAGCCTTTTGTGGAGCTTTAAGTCTTTCTGAAGGTGCTTAAATTGTTAATTCTTTGTGCTTCAGTTAGACTTTCAACCCCTATCCACCAGAGGCAGGTGATCTGAAAACTATTTTACTTTTCACAAGTTTCTGAGAATACTTGATTATGCAGAGGAACACGCATTGAAGAATTGAAATATTATGTAAGCAGTTTGTAAGGATGAGAAGTTACTTTGCAGCATTACAAAGACATCAAATCCAGTAACTATATCCTGGCGTACAAATAATTCTCTCTGCATTATTTGACCAGTGACATCAACCTGGTTATCAAAATAGGGACGAATATGTAGCCTTATACAATCTAACGTAGATGGTGGGTTGAATGTTAGGAAACATTAGTATAAAACATTTATTTTGGGTTGACATATTTAAGGACCTGTTTTGTTTGAATGTTCTATGTTCTAGTAGCTTCAGCTTATATAATGTCTGAAAGATGAAAAGTCAGTAATTTTCCAAAAGAAGGATGAAAGTTCTGTTGGATGTGTTCTAACCTCGTTTTTCGCCCATGAAAGGTTCGCTAGTGAGGCCAAAGGTTGTAAAAAGTGTTCATTTCTGTCCCACAACTAGAGCCTTTACAACTCGTGAGTATAGAGACATTACATCCACTATGGGCTTGCCCACAGGGTCCGTATATCCTACAAGGGTAATCTCAAGTTTTTTGCTGGAAATCTACGTTTTATTCTTTTTCTGGAGGAGGATATGTTAACAGCAAGTTATTTGACAGGATGACAACGGTAACTTGTTGGTGACCGAGTATGGATTGTGCAAATACAAGGACCATCAAACGTTGTCAATGCAAGAGGTGCCTGAGAACTCTGCCCCCGGTCAGCTTCCACGTACGGTGGATGTCATAGTAGAAGATGACTTGGTAGACTCATGCAAGCCTGGTGATCGTGTTGCAATTGTTGGAATATATAAAGCTTTTCCAGGGAAAAGCAAGGGCAGTATGAATGGGGTTTTCAGGTAGCGCCACTCTGTCATTGTTCCTTTTCACGCAAATGTTGTGTTTTCTGTTTTAAAATCCTAATCCATTGACTTTGTTCTGTAGGACTATCCTCATAGGTAATAACGTTTCTCTTCTCAACAAAGAGGCAAATGCACCAATCTACACCACTGAAGACCTGAAAAATATAAGGAAGATAGCTGAACGAGAAGATACATTTGACCTACTTGGCAATTCACTTGCTCCGTCCATATATGGGCATTCATGGATAAAAAAGGCAGTGATCTTGCTAATGCTTGGTGGAATGGAAAAAAACTTGAAGAATGGGACACACTTGAGAGGGTTAGCATTTTTTCTACTTTTTTTTTTCCGGCACTTAAAAATGTGGTCCCTTCATCTGATTTCCATTGCTGTTTTAGTGACATAAACATGATGATGGTTGGTGACCCTTCTGTTGCAAAGTCTCAACTTTTAAGAGCAATCATGAATATTGCTCCTCTGGCCATATCAACAACAGGTCGAGGTTCTTCTGGTGTTGGATTGACAGCTGCTGTGACTTCTGACCAAGAAACAGGTAGTGTATCTCACTGAGTTATTGTATGTCAATATTGCTTGTGCTTGTCCCAAAACAACATTGAGTGTACTTGTTAATCAGGAGAAAGAAGGCTAGAGGCTGGAGCAATGGTTCTTGCTGATCGAGGTGTTGTTTGTATTGACGAGTTTGACAAGATGAATGATCAGGATCGTGTTGCCATCCATGAAGTTATGGAGCAGCAGACTGTAACTATTGCAAAAGCTGGTATTCATGCATCATTAAATGCTCGATGCAGTGTGGTTGCAGCTGCAAATCCTATATATGGGACTGTAAGCTCTGCATCCATTTGTTTTCAACTTATTACTATCAATAGATATTTCATGATTCATCTAATACAAACCTTTGATGCTGATTGCTGACTGAATGTGCAGTATGACCGCTCACTGACTCCGACAAAGAATATTGGACTCCCTGACTCCCTCTTATCCCGTTTTGACTTGCTATTCATCGTGTTGGATCAAATGGATCCTGATATTGATCGTCATATTTCAGAGCACGTTGTACGCATGCATCGATTTCGTTCTGCAGTAGATGGAGGTATTTTATAAGTTCTGAAGAAATTGTGGACTTTCTAGCCTCCATTCAATTTTAAAAATTCCTACCTGCAAAAATTTGAAAATCGTGGCTGGTGCAGAACTTGATGGGATTTCAAGATATGGAAGAGAAGATGATGCTGAAGCAAACTCTGCTGTCTTTGTCAAGTATAACCGCATGCTACATGGGAAGAAGGCTGGAAGAGGACGCAAGCATGAGATACTCACCATCAAGTTTCTTAAGAAATATATTCATTATGCGAAGCATAGGATTCAACCAGAGCTGACAGATGAGGTCTGCTGGTTGTTTCCATTTATGTCCACACTATTTAATTGTCACCATACAAAATGGTGCTACCAGATTTATTATCTCCTCCAACCTTCCTTTACAAGGGGTGCAGCTTAGGAGTTAGGTCATCTTAGCCTGAACCCAACATGAAAAAGTTGGGCTTGGTTAAAGTTCAGGTTGAAAAATATGAACCCAACTTAACTTCAAGTTGGATTAAGGCTGAGGCCTTGGCCAACCTGACCTAACCTGAATCTGATGTCCATTCATACTGGCATATATAAATGTGTATTGCATACATGTAGGTTGTAACATAAATGTGGTAGTCCTAAAGAAACATAACTCTGTTCCCACATATCCTGATGCTAAGGCTGGTCTTCAACCTGACCTGGCTTTCATCTTGAGTGGTTTGAAACTATAGTGCGTCAGCCAATTTTAGGTTTATGGTGTTTCTTGAGCTGATTCTTATACTTCATCTGCAGGCATCTGAGCATATTGCGAATGTCTATGCAGAACTTAGGAATGCCAGTTCAAGCGGAAAGGTTGGTCTTGACAGTTAGTGAATATATTTGAACTGAGCCAAAATTCCTCTAATAGTCATGAATTTTTTAATTCCTGAATAACATGAGTTATCTTTTTTGGTTTCTGTAGACAACTGGAGGAACACTTCCAATTACTGCCAGGACCCTAGAAACCATAATACGTCTATCGACTGCTCATGCCAAAATGAAATTGAGTAAGAAGGTATTTCCTCTATCATTGCAAGCTGATTATCAATTTCAACAATATAGTTTCAAACCCAGAAATACATGGGGTTGTTGTGAAATAAGAAAGTCATATGATGGGCATGGTCCTTGCACATATCTTTTCATGTCTTCTAGCAGCTTGCCTGTGATTGTATCATAACATCATATTTCTTTTCTTTACCAGCTCTTCATTTCACACTTTTTAACATTAATCCGGGTGCAGGTTACAAAGATTGATGTTGAAGCTGCTCTTAAAGTCCTAAACTTTGCCATCTATCATAAAGAACTGACAGAGATGGAGGAGCGTGAACAAGAAAGAGAGAGGGAGTTGGAAAGGAAACGAAAATCTGACCATGATGGTAGGAATAATGATAGAACTACTGGTGCTACAAGAGATAGGTAAGAAAATGAGGTGATATGTGTTTTCTTCTTTGCTTAGGCCTTAGATATTTACTTCTTATTGGTTCATTGGTTTTTGTCTGTGCCCATATATTGGGTTAGAAAGCAAACATTAATACACATTAACATTCCCATGCCTATGCCTGTGCCTGATTTTAATCTGTCTACAACCTTTGCATAATAAACACTTCCTAGAGTTGATAGAAAAAAAGGGTTCCTACTTGGTGTATATGGTTGTTTCTCTAGCAGAAAATACATCATAATTTTAGGCTTCAAAATTTTTGTTTTCACTAGCTTATACCATAAAAGGGTACTCTTCAAGAATTATATTTGCATATTTATATTTAGTCCAAATGTCTTTGTATGCACACCAATAGACTTGATATTTAATTTTTGGAGTGGCCATTCTTCAAACTTGCTGATAATGCCACCACCTCTGTACCACTGGCTTCTTTGCTTTGGTTCTCAAAAGTTATATTCTAACAGGTGAAGCACAACTACATAAAGGCACTGGTTTCCTTTGTAAAGAAATTAAAGGAAAATTAGTTAAGAAGGATCATCTTTTATTCAAAAGATATCTCCCAAGGAATCCTAACTTTATTCTCAAATTCAGTATCTCCATTCTTTTAACTTATTTGGTTGTATAGTTTCCAAGGGTTCTATCTCTACGGTTCATCAATAAAAAAGTGTTCTATCTCTATGATTCCTTTCACATACACTAACAAAATCTTGTGTTTTTCTTATTTATGCCATCTACCATTTATTCTCAATACGCTGTGTCTCTTCCCAATGTCTCAAGTATCTGTATGAAGCTCTTTCTACATCTGGAAAAGTACTTATGAAGCCTTATTATACTGTATGGGTTTCATTACACAAGTCCTGTTCCCCATTCCACTCTATCAAGCTACATGTCATTAGTTAAACTGTGAGGTATGAAATTGTTTGTCTACCTCAACCCTTGTTCTTTTTAGCATGCCTCTAGCTCTTCTAAACCCATTAACTCGCATCAAATGATTATTTATGAGTGCATTAGGTGGTTTCTATAGACAGATACATGAAGATTGACACAAAATATGTGGATGTAATTCTTCATTTTTCAGAGTTCAAGACTCACACTCATATGAACGCCCCATCCAATATGCCAATACTACCATATTTTGACTTTTTTTTTTCTAGACTATGTATGCTCAATGTATACGTCCCTTCATATCCAAAGAAAATTCCAATTACAAAGTTTTGTAATAGTAAATTAAGGGTGCAACAGGTTGGGCTGAGGTCAATCAAGGCCTTCTGATGAGCCCAGCAGATTAGTAGTGACATTAATTGTAAACCCTTCTTCTGATGCCTGCTTTTTTATTCTTGGCTTTTATAGTGCAACAACAGATGCAATGGAAGTAGATCAGCCTCCAGCTGAGTCCAATCTTAACATTTCTCGAGAAAGGTTAGCCCCAACAGATGTGTCATGAAAAACTTGTTATTGTTTATCAACGTCTTTTTCCAACTACACTCATTTTGACTGTTGCTTTGTCACCTGTTCATCTCATGGATTGCAGAATCGAAGCTTTTGACTCTGCGTTCGGCCAGCATATGCGTGCAAACCACTTGGATCTAATATCTATTACAGAGATTGAGAAGGTTGTCAATGTTGGGGCAGCTGCACATTACACCCGATCAGAGATAATGTCCTTATTAGAGGCAAGTTATAATGATATTAAATAATTTTGTTGAATGCACAAGCTCTGAGGTTATTTTAGTTGTAAAATAAAGTGAAAAGCATTCCATGTTGGAGTTTTTCCTCCTACCAGATACTGCCTAATTTTGGCTAATAACAAGTTTTTATTTTTCAGAGACTACAAGCAGATAACAGATTGATGATAGTTGGTGAAACTGTGCATATGATGTGAATACTTGCAGGAAGAGTATCCCTGATGGAGGCCCAGGTTTGAGAGGAATATTGTTTATGAACTTTCTTGCTTCCTGTGATATTTAAAGAGTTCTGTTTTCCTTTGTTCCCTTGTTTGTTGTTTCTCCACCTAGTTTTTTGGTAAAAATTGGAGGAGAGAAAGGAAGACTAGTTTCCTTGTTTCCTTTTTTTCTCTCAATTGGGTTTTTGTTTCTGGGTGTGCATATTTATTTCCCTAGGAACTTATTTCGTAACTTAATACTGCTGCACAAACGAATGGGTTAGGAGTAGGATTCTCTGTCAGGGTGGAGAATGAATTCAATTGCATTTGAATATCTTGCTGGTTTTCTAAAATAGGAACACATTAACTGTTTTTGGTTATCCTGTTTGTCAGAAATTTGTCTAACTTGAGGGAAGAAAGAAAAAAAGTTGACCCTGGGTCTTTATTCCCAGAGTAACCACTTATTTCTAAGGCCCCATTTGGTTTGCAGGAATAGGGGTCTGAAATCGGAATCAGAATGGGCTATTCCGATTCCAACTGTTTGGTTGGGCGGGATCGGAATCCCATTCCCATTTCCTTCTGGAATAGCATTCCCCCATTTGAGGGAATGGCCATTCCCTGCCCCTCCCTTGGGAATGAAATCCCATTCCTGCTTATTTTAATTTTTATTCCCATTCCTGTCTGAACCAAACAGACTATGGGAATAGACCAATCCGATTCCAATTCCAAAGGATTTTGATTCCAATTCCGGTTCCGACTGCAAACCAAATGGACCCTAAGAACTTCCCATCCATGCCAAACATATTCTTGTTCCTAGGAAATTATTTTGCTATGAAGAAACAACAAAAGCATTCCTAAACAATATATTCTCATGGAACCAAAGTTTAGAGGAAAATATATAATTGATTTTATGGATGTTGAACCTGGCAATAGCAATCAAATCAAATGCATAATTGAGCCTAGTTCCCACCTGCCAAGTTTGGGTTTCCTAACTTTCGTTTTGACTGCAACTTTAAAGAAAGAGCGATGTTGGCAGAGCACTTGTGCAAACAAAGCCATCTATGCAAAAGCTCTCAATTGTCAGATATGCAACCTGCGTTGAAAATACATGGGTGGGTCTAGGTGTCGTTAGAGCTAAAAAGAATTGAGTCTTCCAGTGTAAAGCATTGGAACTTTGATATGGATTAATGCTGATTTAGTAAGTCTAAATTGTTATTTCAATGGGATCTTCATTTTCCACCTATGGTCCACTGTACATAGTTCATTCATAAACGACTTTATTTGTTTGAGGACTCTTAAAGATGTTTAATTTTGAATAAATTATTGCTTATTTTATTTTGAAATATTTCATGGACCAAAGTTTTTTTGCCTGGTGTCAGATTATAATTTGTTTGAGCTGGCTATAGTGAATTGGGAGTTCTCCATGGGTCTTCTCTAAATCTGAAACTCTTCATTGAAATTTAATTGCCTGCGTCAGATCTTTCCAAATCTGTGAATTTCTTGCCAAATCCATGAATTCTTGTTCGTGAATGAAACATTTGGGGCTCTTTCATTATTTCCTTGGTGAATAAATATATTTACAATAAGAATGCTGAAAAGAAATGCATAATTAATTAAGTGTGTATCAACCCATCTATGGTATGCATATTTTGATAATGGATGAACCCTGAAATGTTTCATTTGCACTACAAATGACATTACTCACAACTAGGAAGAGGTGCTCTGGGGTCAACTTTTGGAAATGGAATTGTTGCTTGTGATCTCATTGTTGTGCATCTTTGTTTCCACATCTTTTCTTTTCTGTGATAGTCGGTTTTCCTTTCAGGCATTGTTGCCTGTCTCCTTATCCTAACAACCAGCAACTTTATCAATAAATCTCAGGTTGTACGAGAAACTCACAAGCAGCAGCAAGATGACATGACTGCTATTTGGAAACATGGTGCTACTGCTCAATGTTTGATTCCACCGGGCCTGCAAGATGTAATCCAGCAAATTATGTTTCTCAAAATGGTCTTTGCTAGTGTAGCAAAACTTGTTTGTATTCTATAGCCAGCCCAAGAAAAAGGGATATATGTGTGTGTGTGTGTGCGCACTTACAATTGACAATGTTTTCAAGGATAAATTTTTAAAATTTTCCAATTCTATTCTTGTTTGGATTATAGTTCAATTGATCTATCCCTCGTTTCAATTTTTAACCATTTGGCTACCTCTACCATTCTATCAGACAATGGAAAATCAGAAGGCAGTCTAAAACAAAGTTTAATGTGTCCTGTATTCAACATTATCTCGTTCAATGCCATATCTTTTATTTTCTTGTTCATGTGGTGTGTTGAGTCTGCTGACATTTAACTATTTAAGAATATCAATAGTTATTGAAAGTATGCAGCAACCAAGTAAAAGATTCACACCTATTGTTTTTCTACAAAGTAGTCTTGAGGGGCTGACCCAACTTATAATTGATATCGGAAGATAAGGTACGAGTTTTCAACAACAATTGTGGAATAATCTTGCAGAAAATTTTACTTGCCTTGCTGCAAATTCCATCAAACTTCCGAGGGTCTAGTCTGAGACTTCTTGACTATTTTTCCTATCTGAACTGTTCCAGAGGTCATTGATTACTTCTAATTTCTAAATCCTTCATTAAACAAGGGTGGCATGGATCAGAAATTCTGGGCCTGACTTAACAGTAAACTTCATTGAATCACCCATGAATCCATGATTCCTAAGTTTTCATCCTCGTTAAAAGGGAGGAATTCTAGTTTATATTACCATAACCATTTCTCTTACGGGTACATGTAATATTATCAGAAAGCCATCAGCCCATCACATGAAAAAGAGTCAAGACACGGGCATTTTTGCGGCTTGACATGCAAACGTATATGAGCAACAGGAGCATGAATATCGTTACAGGTTACTATTGCAATCTCTAGGTGATGTTCTCACCAACGACTAAAGTACCAGTATTGAGTATCACTTGGATATAAATACCGATACGCTTTATAAATGTATAGATGTGGATACACAGAGAAACATATGTAAATTTTGGTCACAATTAATGTATAAATACATAGAAAATGTATATTTAGTGGTGTGTACGAAAAAATATATGAAAATTAATATAATATAATGCATAAATATCATATAATTTAATTGATAGTGTATCAATCAAGAGCCCAAAACACAAAAATATATGCACCTATTATATTTTAATTATTATATCAATTAATTTCTATTTATTTTTTTTACATTAACCAAAAAGTCAACCAAATATTAAATTCTAAAATGTAAATCAAAATATCAGTTAATAATTTATATAAATATATAATCTCAACTTAAAATGTATCAAATTTATTAAAATTTCTAAGATATATATAATATGTGGATTCATATTTTTTTTTTAAAAATTAAAAATCAATTTTTGATATAAATGTAGATTAGTAGGTTTGTTAGATTCAATTTAGTATTATATTCTTGAATATTTTATAAATATATATATATATATATATATTTTATTTTAGTAAATAATAAACATGTTATTTAATGTAATTTAAAATATTAATTAATAATTTAAAAAATATAAAATTTTTAAGATATATACCATATGCAAATTTGTAAATTTTAAGTGCTAAAATAATCATTCTATTATTAATATTTTATTTATATAAAGTTCTAGAGATTCAAATAATTTTTTGATATAAATGTAGATTTGATAGATTATTTTTTCCATTATTTTATAAAATACTATTTTTGAATATTACTCTTTTTAATTTTTAGTTGGAATTGCTAAACTTAAATGTGCATTCTTTATTTGGATTGCATTTAGATAATAAAATCAATAAAAGTTGGGTCCGTTTGGTTCATAGTTGGGAATCAAAACCCATCGGAATCGGAATTAGAGTGGTCTATTCCCATAGTTTGTTTGTTCAGACAAGAATCAGAATGTGAATTTAAATCAGCTGGTCCCAAGGGAGGGGGAGGGAATAGGATTCTAATCCCACCCAAACCCTTATTTTATTTCATTTATTATCATAAGAAGCTAAGTGGTTTAGTGGTTTAAGAGTTTAAGTGCTCAACGTGCTAATTGATTTGGGAATCACCCCATTTACATTTTTTAGTAGAAAGTTAAATTGATGCATATGACGTATTGTTGAATACCGGCCCATAGCGGGCCAATACACATAATATTAATATTTCAATCCTTGGTGGTCACAAATCAGGCCTGGGCTGGACTGTCATGTACCCTAGAGCATAGACAAGCTGAGGACCAATGATGTGACTTGTGATCTGTTCCTCACACCGGTCTCCAATGATGTGGCACCTACCCATATGATGGATGTTTTAACGTTAGTGTGATTCTCGAATGATGAGGGACATGTGGTAAATGCTAGTCGAGCATAGTCACCTCATACAGGGCGCCTCACATCGACTTCACACACACACACATCTTACCATGCATTGGAAACATCTCCCATATTTGTAAATTATTATTCACGGGAAATGTTATTAATGCATGGTAGATGTGTTTGTGAGGCACCCGTGTGTGAGGAGCAGATCCCGTTCCGTGCTAACAATTCTGAACTTGTCTTGTTCTTGGTGAAATGTATAGTCGAGCATAGTCACCTCATACAGGGCACCTCACACACACATCCTACCATGCATTGGAAACATCTCCCATACTTGTAAATTATTATTCACGGGAAATGTTCCCAATGCACGATGGATGTGCTTGTGAGGCGTCCGTGTGTGAGGAGCAGATCCTGTTCCATGCTAACAATCCTGAACTTGTCTTGTTCTTGGTGAAATGTATAATGCATGTCTCTAACAACACAAGTAGTATTACCTTGAAGCTAACAACATCTCTCCCTAAGCCCATGTAGGCATTTGGCATCGGTGCTAGGAACACAGCAGAACAGTGCTATGTATGTATAAGTTGTAATACATATTTTTTGTTTGGAAATGGTGATGCCACATAGGTTGTTTTATAGAAAAACAATATTGGTTTTGTTTGGTACCAGTGCTATGGAACCGTTGTTAGTATTGGTCTATATTATCTAACATTCAAGATGATGCCATAGTAATACCACATCATTGCACTGCTGGCAAAAACACGTTGTTTTTTGAAAAAACATTGAATTTGACATTTCTTCAAACCACACTTTCATGATTTTCAAGACATGGTTTAGAGCAACGTTTTTTGTGAAAAAATGATACCAAACAAGAGACCGTTTTCTAAAACACCACTTTTTCTGATGTAATACTTATATGGCGCCATTTTCTCAAAAAATAGCATTGATGGCAAATACTATAAGGGCCTGCCACCCAATGTGAGGTTTTCTATACACTTGTGGCTGCCAAACTCTGCTAGCTAATAGGCTCTCAAAAGTTCAGCCTAACCATCGCCCTACACTTATTAACTTGAGCATTGGGGTTTTTAACATTTTATTTACTGCTAGTCCACCTCAGCTTTGATAGCATCATATATTAAAGATCTGCCTTGATTTTTTTTTTTTTTTGTTTTTATATAGACCCAAAACCAATATATTCTTTAATGATGTGTTTGGTTTCGTGGGAATTTATTAAAAAAATGTTGTTACATTAGTGCTGTGCTAATGTTTATTGCATATAAAATAATTATTTGATTTCACTATTTATCAAATAAATGGTAGAAAATTGAAATAAAAACATTTCTAAGATGAAAAATAAAAAATGTTTAAAATAAATGTTTAAAATGAAAAATTATAAATAAAGTAGGGCCAATCCATGAACGTCCACGAATCCAAACACATGAAACTTGAAACTTACGGAACCAAACACAGAATAAATTTATATTTAATTTGTAAAAATTGTAAAACCTTATTGGGAGGCATTTATTGAAACTTCTAATCTGTAACGTCTGTTGTTTCGTTTTATTCTAGGGCCTGGTTTGTTTGTATTCATGGGACTCCAAATGAATCTGATTTTATTTTTGGTTGTAGTGCAATTTCATGGGACTGCAAATTATTCTTGTTTTCTTGGGTTCTCTTAAATTCTGAAATGAAGTTGACACGTGGAGCCGAGTCAGCTAGTTCGTGGCATTGTTCCAGGAGTTGTCCATCTTAAAAATGACGTTTTGACAGTCGTTTTCAGATAAATAAAATAACAGAAGTAGCATAGGCCCATATCTCTCTTCCACACAAACTTCCATCTTCTTTCCGATAGAAATTTTCTCACCAAACCCTTCTATTCTTCTTCCCTCTCTACATTCCGACATTCTTGCCCCATTTTATACTAATTCTACTGTCAGATGGAAGGAAGTGAGATTAGAGAAAAAGAAGAAGCAAATGCAACTGAGAGAAAGAAAATCTTTGTTGCTGGGGCTACCGGGGGCACCGGAAAGAGAATTGTTGAGCAACTGCTGGCCAAAGGCTTTGAAGTTAAAGCCGGAGTACGCGATTTGGACAAAGCAAAAAACAGTCTTTCTGACAACCCAGCTTTGCAAATTGTGGGTATCATTTATTTTCAGTTCTTTACTAATTGCGGTTCTCGGTTTAGTATTTTCAAGGTTAAATTGAAATGGGTTTTATTATTTTATTCTCTCTTTCTCTCTCTCTCTCTCTCTCTCTCTTGCTAATCACAGTTCATTGGAGTTTTTAAGTAGTGCATTTTATTCAGAAGTGATTTTGATAGAGTTCTTATTGTTTTGCTCATTTACAGGTGAGGGCTGATGTAACAGAGGGTCCGACGAAGCTAGCAGAAATTATAGGCGATGATACAGAAGCTGTAATATGCGCCACAGGTTTTCGACCTTCATGGGATCTATTGGCCCCATGGAAGGTGAGTCAGTTAATTATATGACAGAGCAATGGTTGACGTCTTGTTTTACTTAGCTATGTTGCTTCTATTTGATCGATAAAATAATTAATAGTTTTTTCTCTTCTTTGTGTCCCATCTATATGTTTCTCCTTGTTCATCTTGCATGGAAAAGGAAATGGTAGTCCCTCTGTTATATTAACAATTTATCTATGAACCTGAGAACTACTACTTGTAAAAGGATCCCATGACTGAGAACTTCTACTGCCAATTACACAATTATAATTTCTCTTTATCCTAAATAGTTCTTTCGAGAGGGAAGGACTGATTGTCTGCACTATGTGCATTCATTTAGTTCATACACTTCATTTTCCCCCATACGATAATACATTGATTAGGAATTAACTTGTCTAAAGAAAAAAAATATAATAATTGCTTTCATATTGGTAATTTATTGCCTGTCTATGCCTAGAAAGCTTGAGTAGCTCAGACTGGTATCAACACCTCTCCACCTTTGCGTGGTCCAATGGACTGCTGAGACTCATTTCTGAGATTACATTCCTTTCAAATAATTGTTGTAAAGATCAAAGATGGTAGTAGAATGCTCTGAATAAACATATTATTGGTGACACTTTAAAATGATGTATCAATCTGGAAAAATCTGTCATTCCTTCGGTTCCTGGGCTTTCTTTGTACACAGTCTTGTCAGTCAAGCACCTGCAAGGCTAAAAGAGAAATCTTCAGTAGTAACTATATGACTAGCTACCTGAGAGGCACAGTCCCTACAGAGAGACTCATACACCCCAACCCAAAAGGAAAAATTAAAATAAAAAATTAAAAACAAAAAGAAAAGCAGAACAGGAAGCTCAAAGCACAAAATCTGTACCAGGAATTTAGGTCCACTGTCCACATTGATATGACCTACTTTCTGGTGTTGCTGTTTTTTTTTGATAAGCAAAACAATTCATTAGAACTAAGCAAACAAACTATTTACATCAGAAGATAACCAAGGATGGGGACACTCCCCTTGCAAAACCTTTACCTTTCTGAGCTAGTCTATGAGCAGCAATAGTAAAAGTTCTGGGAACATAACTAAAATTTATATTAGGAAAGGAGAGTAGAGGTGCCCTAATTGAAGTCATTACTATTAGAGTGTTCCGTTGGGTTAAGCCCTTGGAACTCTTTGAGGAGGATATCCGTGCTGATGACTTCATGAGAAAATAGAAGGAAGTAGCTGATCCAGCTCCCCTCAAGGCTGTCATCAGGCCAAGTTGGTCCCCACCTTCAGGCGTTCATAAAACTGAACTTTGATCGAAATATTGAAGGAAATTTAGGTCTTTCAGGCATTGGAGGAGTCTTTAGAAATAATGAAGAAAGAATCTATTCTCTTTTTATGGGTCCAATTAGTGTGGGTGATTCTTTGAGGGTTGAAATGATGACTGTCTAGGAAGGTGTTCAAAAAGCTAAGGAGCTGCACATCTGTAAATTGAAGGGGATTCAAAGCTAGTTATAATTTGGATGAAAAAGGAAGAAGTTGCTGGTTGGGGGAGCTACATTAATGAAAAAAAGTAGGTTTACATGGCTGTCACAAGGAATGGAGGTTAATCTACAATGGGTGAAAAGAGATGCTAATTCTTTTGCTGATACATTGGCTAAATAGGGGGTGGGAAGAAATCAGTTGTTTTGGGCTATGTTGTAAACATGTGCTTTTTTCAAGGGAGAGCTAAGAAAGCTTATCTCTCCCTTATTTCCTCTTTGTATTTACTTGTTTTATTATTAATTTAATTAATTAGATTCATATATTGGTAAAAAGAAATTTACATTAGCAAAAAATTTCACAACTGAATATATCTGATCCACAAGGCCATGCAGCTTTGCATCGGAGAAACGATATATGTTACTCCAACCTTGATCCCTAGCAAAAAGTAGTGATTGAAGATCAGCAGAAAAACTCTGCTTCTAAAGCTACACTTACAAGACCAACTGGACCTGCCACTGCAACCAAAAAGCATTTGTTAAGTCATAAACCACAAAGCCAAAAGAACCTAGGTAATTTTTACTCAAACCACCATCACACTGGATTAAAACAGAACCCTCTTCAAAAACAGAAGATAGAATTTTTAAACAACAGTCAGGTTCAGAACTGTTAGTACTAACTTCTCTGCAGCTCAATGACAAATTATTCACTATATTACAAGTATTCTTAATTACCCACTAGACTGGTCTAGCCTGTTCTGGAAAGAGTTTATCATTCCTAGCTTTTCACACAAAATACAAAGCCACAGCAACCCAGGCCAAAAGATCTGAAAAATCAGAAGAATTAATTCCTGAATCTAAAACATACAAGAAAAAATGAAGCACACTATTACAGTGCTGAGGAATCTGCAGAGACCAAGGGCTCACAAATAAAACTGCCCTCGAAAAAGGACAAACACAGAAAAGGTCAAGCAAGGACTCTTCCTCCTGTGAATATAGAACACAAGTAGTTTCTACTTGCATACTTCTCCTTGCCATTTCTGCTTTAGAAACCAGAAAATTTCTGCAATCTCTCTACTAAAACAATTTAAAATTTGGAGGTATTCTTAACTTCCAGACCTAGTAACACACAACACAGAATTATCCGAAACATTACGAGTTAAACGCCATTCTTTCCTCAAAAAATTTTTAACTGAAAACTTACAATTTGTTTCTTCTAACCAGATAAAATGATCCTTATCTCTGTTTGACAGAATGTACATTCCTAAATTAGCTTCTTGTCCCCACCAGAAAAGTAACTAGACACTTTAGACTGATCCCAATTCCCCCTTGGATTAACTAGGTCCCTTGTTACTAATGATTTCAAATTCTGATTTGAGGGACCAACTAGAACCTTAAAGGAGTTTGACCAGAAATCCAGGGGGTGTTCCAAACATTCAGGTTTGAATTAGGATGTGTTTGAACCCCCACTTTATTATACATCTGGATGAGAGCATTAGAAATAGACTTCCAAATGGGAGAAGCATTTCTAGCTATCTTCCTTGAAAATTTCTCATTCTTTCATAAGTACGTAATCTGTAGCAGAGTAATCCGCAAGGGTTGCTTGTCTGACAGGAACCTCCGTTATTTTGACCCAGATGTTGCTTACTGATACATGTAATCCATTCATATAATGCTAATTGATGGCCTTGGTTGGTGATTAATACATAATTTCCTTAAATACACATTCTTCTAACTAGTTCTCTAATTAGTGCAATCTATTCTTATGTTGACACATTCTCTAGGTACTATTCTCTCATGAAAGAAATTCAATAGTCATTCACCATTTTGGTTGAATTACTTGTATTTTGCAATGCTGATCGATAATTCAAGCATTGTAATATCACAATTTACTCAAATAGTTTATGTACTTCCTGAAACCAATTCCAAAATAAGCTTCAAATTCTCACCTGTTATGTTGAATGCATTTTCTTCTAGGACCTGATATTTCCTATCATTGCAGGTGGACAATTATGGGACAGTAAATCTTGTTGAAGCATGCCACAAAACTGGTGTTAATAGATTCATTCTTATCAGTTCTATTTTAGTCAATGGAGCTGCAATGGGGCAAATATTGAATCCAGCTTATATCTTGCTTAATGTATTAGGACTCGTGTTGATTGCAAAGTTGCAGGCAGAGAAATACATCAGGAAATTTGGTATAGACTATACCATTATAAGGCCCGGTGGGTTGAGAAATGAACCCCCAAGTGGAAACGTAGTCATGGAGCCTGAGGTAGAGCTGCTAGCATTTCCCTTTTTTAAACGTGTTTCCATATTTTTGTATTGAAACTGGGTTTCTTATCTATTAGCTTCATCCTTTCTTCTTGGGTCCTCTTTTCAGGATACTCTTTATAAAGGTTCTATATCCAGAGATCTGGTTGCAGAAGTTGCTGTTGAAGCGTTGCTCCATCCTGAATCCTCATACAAGGTTGTGGAGATAGTATCTCGACCTGAGGCTCCTAAGCGTTCCTATGAAGATCTATTTGGCTCTATAAAGCAACGCTGAATTGCTCTCTCAGGTCTCAACATGCAAGCCTATGATTGTGATGCTCACTACTGATCAACCAAGGGTGCTGCTTTTTCTTGTGATATTTTAACAATGACAGGCCTGTCTTGTATTTTTCTTCTTACGTGGTGCTGTAATATGTTTGTCCTTAAGTTGGAAGGATCAATTTGCTGTATTTAGTCCAATAGTCGTCAGAACACCAACCACTGTAACTAAGTCCATTTCAGTGGAACAGAAGAAACTTGCTTGATGGATTGTATACTATGCATCAACTTGATCAAAGTAGGAGAAGATGCTGAAACTCTGAAGGAAGGCACAGAGGGGATGTCTATCTCCTCAACGTGCTCGTTATGTTGTACGATTGTAGTTCTGTTTAATTATATTGATGAATGGAATGCAGACCATTTAGTGTTAGATATGTGTGTGTGGGTGTAGAATTTGGAATGTCCAGACTTCAGATACACAGAGTAACACGCATTTGAATGAATAATCAAACCATTTCTTCACAAAAGCATGAATTTCATGACATGCCCATTTACAGAAAAGAATGAACCCCAACCAAACAATCACGGGAAATCAAGAATATGAAAATATAAAATTCAAAAGAGCCATGCAGCCAGAGAAGCCATGGCTGCAAGAATGGCAGGTGCACAGAGAACAACTCCAGCGTTCTCCATGGCTGGAGATGGGGCAATCTCTCCAACATCTTCGACTGCAGCAGTGGCTTTGGAAGTGTAGGAAACCATCAGGACCATGATGTAGATGGTGATAACCAAGGACAACCTGCGACCCTCCATTACAAGTTCTCTAGATATGAAAGAGGATGGAGGAACTAAAAATGGTGAATGGGACAACTTATCTTTAGAATTGGCTTTGAGTTCTGAGAAGGAAAGTAGAGTCTGAATGCTTTTAAAGAGAGTTTGGAGTGAAAAGGAATCTGCCAGCTCTTTCAGTGATGGCATATCCACAAGCTCAATCATTTGAGGTTGTGGGTTGTCGACATATTTTACAATTCAGATTGTCTGGACCGGTAAACAGGCTGGAGTCGATGTTGCAACAGTCCAGAGCATTGAATCTGGAGCAAATATATTTGTAGCTTACGGCTTATAAGATTAAATTACATAGAAGCACATAATTGCCCAGACTAATATAATAGATGCTAATATTTTATATTTTATAATTGCAAAGATTCCTGTTAATTTTAACTATTTAATTATATATGCTTAATTAACAGCCCAAAGCCGGATCTCTGTCAAGATGAATAAAATTACAACTAGCTGCCCCACTGCCAAATTGTTGAGACTTTAGAGATGCCTGTAACTGCCCTCTTTTAATTTTTTATAGAAACACTAAAATATCACTCGTGTCACTCGACCTGTAATTTTCTCAAGGATCCAACTCCTTTTGGCTCAGCTAGTGTTAGCTTGTCTTATCTCGCTTGCCCCAAGCCTGGATGAAAGAGGGATTTATCAAGCTGGCAATTGGCACTAAAACTTTTGCCCAACTCTGATGATCATGGTCATGGATCCTGATATGCCTTTATGTGTTGTAGTTTTAGGTGTGTAATTCAAAAGTTTAGGAAGGATAGTTTTATCTTTTTTTTTTTTTGCTTTTATTTGCACACACTCACACATATCTCATGCTCACATAAGTCATTTGATTTTTTGCCAAAGTTCAAATTTTGATTCCTTTCACTCTTTGAGCCCACTTTTCATTTCTTAGCTTTGCTTGAATCCCACATTAACTCAAACCTGGACCCTCATTGATAAAATTTGTCGGCATGCACTACTAAATGCTATGACCAACCAACTGTTTAACGTTTACCAACTATACCCCATTGCTATTGAAATTTAGAATGCTCTTAAAATTAAACATATCATCAAGGATATTGGGGACAAAAAATATGTCATTAGCATTTTCCTATCCTTTGCCATGATAGAGGAGAAGTTTGTCTCATCACAGATTCATGACTACCATATGATTATAAATGACCTTCTAAAGGAATCACACTCCAAGAACAATTTATCATTGGGGCTCTCATTGAGAAGCTCCCTATGTCTTGGAAGTACTACAAAAATAACTTGAAACAGAAGCAAAAGGAAATGACATTGCAAGAATTGGTGGTTCACATCAGAATTGAAGAAGGACAAGGATAAGGAATGAGCTGATGCACTTAGTGAAATGGCCTTGAAGGCTGCTTTAAGATAAAGCATGAAAAAAACATGAAAGAACCAAAGGAAAAAATGGAGGACAATACAACCAAGGCAAGAAATTTAAGAAAAGCTTCAACCTCAATTTCAAGTAGAAAGGTGCTTGTCATAGATGCAAAAAGCAAGGACATTGGGCACCGCATTGCAAACTCAATAAGAAGAACTCAGGCAATGTTAATAATAACAAAATTCAGTTAACTTGATTGGATCAGATGTCATTGTTGTAGTTGTTGTTTCTAAGGTTAATATGGTAGCAAATTCTAAGGAACAGATCTTGGATATAGGAGCTACAAGACACATTTATAGCAACAGAAGTTGTTCCCAATCCTATACTCCCATTTGGGAAGATAAGCAAGTATTCTTGGGTGATTCTAGGCCCGCTCTTGTTATTCGCAAAGGAAATGTTCTCTTAAAACTGACTTTCGGGAAAATTCTATCTCTTTCTAATATCCTTCATGTTCCCATCACTCATAGAAACCTAATTTCAGGCTCCTGACTCAATAAAATAGGGATAGAACTCTCTTTTATGTCTAATAAACTTATACTCATCAGAAATGGGGCTTTTGTCAGGAAAGGTTATTGCAGTAATGGTTTGTTTGTTTTGAATGTACTTGAAATCATAAATGAAAATGATTCAACTTCTGTTGATGTTGTTGAATCTATTGACATTTGGCATGATAAATTAGGATATGTTAGTGTTCCATACTTAAAGAAAATGAAACAAATAGGATTAATTTCTGATTTTTCACAACATTGACAAATGTCAAATATGCGTAGAATCAAAATTTACTAAGAAAAGTCACAAACTAGTACAAAAAGAAAATGAGTTACTTGGATTGATACATAGTGACTTAGGAGATATGAAAATCATTATTTAGAGGAGGAAAATCATATCACATAATCTTTGTTGATGACTTTTCTAGATTTACCAAAATATATCTTCTTAGAAGTAAAGATGAAACAGAAGAAATGTTCTACAAGTATAAAAACGAGGTTGAATTGTAGTTGGGCAAAAAAATTAAAAGACTCAGAATTGACTAGGGAGGAGGATATGATTCTTTATCCTTCAAGAAATTTTGTGAAAATACAAGAATAATACATGAAACCACTGCTCCCTATTCTCCTGAATCAAATAGAGTTGCAAGAAGGAAAAATAGGACTTTAAAAGAAATGATGAATTGCCTACTAATAAGTTTTGGTTTGCCTCAAAATATGTGAGGGGAAACCATAATAACTGCATGCTATGTTCAAAACGAAATTCCACATAAGAAAACAAGAAAAACACCTTTTAAACTTTGGAAGTGTTACAAACCAAATTTGAAATTCTTGAAAGTGTGGGGGTGCCTAGCAAAAGTTGGAATCCTTGAACCTAAAAAGAGGAAAATTGGACCAAGAACTATGAATTGTACTTTTATTGGATATTTACAAAATAGTGCAACCTATAGGTTTCTAGTTCTAAAAGTCTAAAGGCAATATTGTAGAGCCTAATAATATCTTAGAGTCCCAAGATACATAATTTTTTGAAGCCATCTTTCCCCATAAATGGGATAAAATTAATACATACAATATAATTAACAGAATAACTGAAAATCTTAACATCCAAGTACCTGATAATAATTCTGAGTTAATTCTTGATCTTAGAAGAAGCAAAAGAGCAAGAAAAGAAACTAACTTGGGTGATGTTATGTTCTCATACTTGGTTGATGAAGATCCTAAAACCTATAAGGAAGGTGAAGACTACTTTGATACATTTTCTCTAGTAACAAAAATCTCCTCTATTACAACACTCTTAGTCATAGCTTCTACACATAACTTGGTTATATAGTAAATGGATGTAAAAACCACATTTTTAAATAGTGATCTTGAGAAAGAAATCTATATGAACCAACTTGAAGGTTTTCAGGCCCCAAGATAAGAACATAAGGTATATAAATTAGTAAAACTCTTCTATGGCTTAAAACAAGAACCAAAGCAATGGCATGAAAATTTTGATAATGTAATAACTTCTAATGGTTTTGTAATTAATGATAGTGACACTTGTGTATAGAGTAAATTTAACGACAATTCTGGGGTAATAATATGCTTATATGTTGATGATTTGTTAATTATGGGAATTGACTTATCCGTTGTGTAAGAAACTAAAAATTTCTTAATGTCCAAATTTGATATGAAAGATTTAGGTGAAGCTGAAGCTGATGTCATTTTAGGAATGAAAATTTACAAAGCCAATATAGGTATTTTATTACCTTAACCGCATTATGTTGAGAAAATTCTTACAAGATTTGAACAGTTTGATAGTAAACCAGTTAAAATCCCTTATGATCCTAGTATTCACCTAGTTAAGAACAAAGGAAATGCTATATCTCAATTAGAATACTCTAGAATTGTTAGAAGTTTGATGTATTTTAAAATTGTATTCATCATGATATTGCATATGCTGTTGGTAGACTAAGTAGATATGCTCATTGTCCTAGTATTGATCACTAGTATGCCATTGTTAGATTATTGAAATATCTTAAAGGAACTATGGGTTACGGTTTATTTTATTGTGGTTATCCTTCAGTGTTAGAAGGATACAACAATGCATATTGGATTTCTGATTTAGAATCCAACTTTATCAATGATTATATTTTAACACCTGGTGGTGGTGTTGTGTCATGGAATTCTTCTAAACAAACATGCACAACTAAGTCCACCATGGAATATGAATTTATAGTCTTGGAAAAGGTTGGGATTGAAGCTGAATGGTTGAGAAATCTCTTCATTGGTATTTCTTTATGTGAAAAACCAATTCCCCCTATTTCATTACATTGTGATTTTCATGCTACTATTGCTCAAGCAAAAAATAAACCTATAATGGTAAAAATAAACATATCAGATTGAGACATAATGTAGTGAAAAGATTAATTTCTGATGAGATAATATCCCTTGATTTTGTAAGGTCAGAAAAGAACCTGACAAATCCTCTAACCAAAGCTTTTCCTAGGAAGCTTGTGTTTGAATCTTCTAGAGGTATGGAACTTAGGCCTATTTTAAAGGTCATTATTGATCAAAACCCAACCTATGCAAGTGGAGATCCCATGAGTTAGGTTCATATGTGAAGAGCAAAGTCACTAGATGACCTGTTGAGTACTATAAATTTTAGTTATTTGTCCCTATTTCATTTTAAAGTGTTCACTGCTTTTAGGTTGAGTTGCATACTCTTAACAAGTCATTGTTATTTTCATGATTATTAACTTTGTGTGATAAAATAGTTCACACTTGTATTATATATTTTTGGATTCACATATGTGAGCTTATATGTGAGGCTGCCTCCTATGGAAACTTAGGCCGGTTTTCTAGTAAGCTCATGAAATCAAGATGACGCGGGGCCAAATTAGTGCCACCCCGTTGAACATGCAGTAATTATAAGACAATTGTGTGGGTATCAAATTATCGTCTATAGTGAAGGAGACTGGTTCATAGGCATAGTCCACCAGGCTTTTGTAGGCCTTGATTTGCATATCATAAATGTAGGTTCATAGTCCAAAAGACATCTACATCATTGCACTTATATTTTAGCATCTCAACTCGGTATCACTTATTGCATTAAACTTGTTAATCATGTGGAGGATTGTTGTAGTTTTAGGTGTGATTTAAAAGTTTAGAAAGGATAATTTTGTTCTTTTCTTGCTTTTATTTGCATACACCCACACATATCTCATGCTCACATAAGCCATTTGACTTTCGCCAAAATTCAAATTTTGTTTCCCTCCACTCTTAGAACCCACTTGTCATCTCCTAGCTTTACTTGAATCTCACATAGAAAAATTACAATATATTTGTAACTTAAGGCTTGTAAGATTAAATTACAGACAAGCACATAAATGCTCATGAGACTAATATAATAGATGCTAATATTTTAATATTTTATAATTGAAAAGATTTCTGTTAATTTGACTATTTAATAATATATGCTTAATTAACAGTCCAAAGCCGAATCTCAGCATGAATAAAATAACTAGCCGCCCCACAACCAAATTGTCGAGACTTTAACTATAATTGCCCTCTTTATTTTTTTTTTAGAAACACAAAAATATCAGTATATCACTCATGTCACTCGATTTTTAATTTTCTCAAGGATCCAACTCTTTTTGCCTCAGCCAGTGTTAGCTTGTCTTATCTCGCCTGTCCCAAGCTTGGATGAAGGAGGGATTTATAAAACTTTTGCCTAACTCTGATGATCATGGTCATGGATCCTGATATGCCTTTAATGCCGATTCAATTTCTTTTGGTCTCCACTAGTGTGAGCTTGTCCCAAGACCGGATAAAGGGGGTTGCACCAAGTTGGCAATGAAACTTTTGCCAAGCTCTCATCATGATCATAACATGGTTATGAATCATGATGTCTTTTTTGTGTTCATGATGATGATGCAATTCCTTTTGGCGAAAAATCTTTAGCCTCGATAAATTATTTACCTGCGCAAACAAATGTATCAAGTCTCGGGAGGGTATTACTTGTGCAAGTAAATGAACCACTTGAGAATCGGGTACTACTAATGCCAAAATATAAATGAGTTTATTTCTTTTCCATGACAACCATCAACTTACCCACCCCCACTTCTTGGAAAAGGAACAAGGCTTTAGAGGATGAAACTTACCCCTCCATATGGTAAAAGCAACTGCCTTTTTCCCCTACAAAAAACAGTTTGAGAGGCCAAGCCTTCTAGTTTTTGCTATAAAACCATCCTTAAAGCGAGGCGGTTTCAAGTATTGATGATTTGCGTTTTGAAGTTCTAACTGATTTTCTTTGAGAATCAATCCCACTCTGAATCATAAGTTCAGAACCACCTTGTATACATACATTTACCTGCCAACTAGTTGGCTACTGGTTTGAACCGTTAATAGATATGAAACAGCAAAGGCTGGGGCTCAACCCTCTAGCAGTTGACTTTCTGTTAATACTAACGTAAAAGAAAACTTTTGCTTACCAATAAGAACTTAGAAGCAGAAGCCCTTAAGCACAAACGTTAACAATTAGTAAAATGTCTTGCAGATTCTTAAATTAGGCACTAAATACCGGCCCTTAAACTAATAAAATGTATTACAGAAAGCTGTGAAAGTTAATTTGGTTTGAGTACTACTACAAAATTGCAATTTTAAAGAGAAAATCAGATTTAAGGGATATGCTAGCCTCTATAAGAGATACAATCTGGGAATTCTTGGATAAGCAAGATTTTTTGTTTTTATTTCTTCCCGAATCAAATATGATTGACAATCAAGGCTTGAATGCTGAGAATGCCACAACTGAGTTATGTCCTCCAAAACCAAAAGAATTTGAAATGGCTACAAAATGGTGAAAAATGGTTAGTCTGCTTATACTTTACATACAAAGAGATGAAAACGAAAGATCTAGGAGCTTCAGAACTTACCAACATTCACTTCATGCTGTTTCTTTTTATTTGCGACAGTGTCAAACTCCACTGAAGGCTCTGGGTTCTGCATTAATGAAAGGAGATTTTTTCAAAAAAAAAAAAAAAATCTCCATTACCAGGTTGTTTTAAATATAATCAGAGAAGCATAAAAATATTTGCAAGTAATACATACAAATTGGTTTATACTAGGATGCAACCACCCTGTAGTAATGGCTTTCACTGTAGCAATGGCTTCTAGGCCTCCAGCTGCACCAAGGCAGTGCCCTATCATAGACTAAAAGCAGAAAAGATAATTAGAAACAATAACATGCCATGAAAGCAATATGTGTGTGTGTGTGTGTGAGAGAGAGAGAGAGTTTACCTTGGTTGCATTTATTTTGATCTCTTTAGTGCTCTTGAATACCTTTTTAATAGCATTCACCTCAGCCAGGTCACCAGCAATTGTGGAAGTTGCATGTGCATTTATGTAGTTAACCTAGGAAAAAAGTAAAGAAGAGTGGGGCAGAGAGAGTTATTTCATTTACTAATGAAATGATTCAGATTTCAGAATGGTGAAGCAGGATTCATGTAGCCAACCTCATATGGTCGGGACAAGGTATATATGATGACAATGAATGAAATGAAGAATTTAAAGAGAATTTGATTCCTTTTGGAACTTCAAACAGAAACTAGTGTACCCTCAAGTCAAGGAAAAAAACTTTAAAGCTAATGATGGATTAGAACTTAGTTGTCAGTTGGCCACTGTGTGATGAATTTAAATTCCCTAACTTGCAAAATTTCCATGAAATAATGAAGTCACGAACTGGCCATTATACTGAGAAATAAAGAAGAAATGTCAAAATTGATACTCTACCTAACAGTTTAATTCATCAAGCCTTTTGATTCCCCTACAGAAGAATACCTATATTGGAACTTTGATACAGGAAAGTTGTTCCTCTAATTGGTCATGAGCAACTTAAAAAAAATGGGGACATAACTACTTTTTTTTTCTTTGCTACTAGGTAGGGCTCTCAATGTTCAATGGATTCTCAATGAGCAATTGGTCATGGTTAAATGGACTCTGTGCAGGAATAGATTTCGTATCCATAGAAATGATCAGATGCTATCCATGTTATATTCACAGAAAACCTGTACTCACAGTTTTCAAGGCACTGAGGCAAGGCTAGGCGATAGGGGGTGCCTTGTCCTAGCTGCCTAGGTTATGGGATTTTTTCGAATAAAAACCATGAACCTTAGGATAATTCCCTAGGTTCCATTGCAAGCAGCAACCATCTTTCACTATTAATTGTTTACGATCTTCATAAAAAAATGTATAAACTTCATTTAAAACATAAAAAATCAACATATTTATGAAAAAAATGGAAGAAAGAAAAGATTTCAGAAAATAGAGGGGCTGAGCCTCTTTTTTTATCCTAGGAAAAGAAGAAAAGAAAAGAAGGAAGAAGATCAATATAGTGTACATCTTCACTGAACCCTAACAACTAAGAAAAACAATAAAAAGAAACTAGTCTTTTAACTTAAACTGAATAATTTAGTTTAATAATGTCTATTTTATTATTATGAAATAGACAGCTAGGGCTGTCAATGGTCGGTCCAAGTGTCCGACCTGACGGACCTGAACCGATTGGGACGGTTCTGGTTCCAGGTCCTGATATAGTGTCCCGATTATTATCGGTTCAGAACCGGTTCCACCCAGTCCCAAACCGATTCAGACCCGACCTGAGCTATATATATATAGTTATTTATTATAATTGGGTCTGTTGGGTCAGACCCAACTGTCCTGAGAACCGATCGGTTCGGTTTTGGGTCTAAAAATTACAGATTCTATCGGTTCTGAGTCAATGTTTCATGTCGGGTCGGTTCTGGTTCTAGCTGGTCCCAGCCCAGACCTGACCTGTTGACAGCGCTACCAACAGCACCATGTAAAAAATATCTTGGTGATTGAGGTGATCCTCAATGAGCGCCTTATTGCCTAGTGTCACTCTACATAAAAAGCTACCGTGTTATTACCTGATTGTCATAGTTAGGTAGTATATCCTAGAGGTAGTCTCTATTTTATACGATAGTGGGTTGTTCATATATCATTAGTGTAGCAATAAGCCTTAAAAAAAAAATAGTGTAGCAATAGCATACAAATTCGCTAGGTTATTTGGTTTTTCATTTGATTGGTAGCAGCATGCTTGTGTTTTGTTAGATGGTTGCAGGAAATTGTTGCGACTATGTGAACTCATGACCCAGGCATGCATTCAGTGGGTGGTTTGGTTTATCCTTCTAGTTATAGCATGTCCACGTTTGTTTTTTGAAGGTCATGAGAAAGTGCTATGATTATGTGAATGCATTGCTTCACATATTAGGCTACCTTTGTATTTCTTGATAGTAAGGTAGTTGATGCAACCCGAGGCTCCCATAGCTGTGATGAGATGACTAGCGGCGATGAGCAGAGGGCTAGCCACGATGTGACTATGAGAATGATGAGGCCGAGAACTAAGTGCAATAGAAGTAAGGAGTGACGAGTCAAAACTCATTCCATGAAGTTGCAAAATCGCACTGGTGAGCAATCACAAGACACATCCTATTCATTGCACTGATTTCACTCACCAAGACCCCTGTGATGACTCACCATCGCATGCAACAAGCTTCAACGTTCAGGCTGTCATACTAACCTGCAATCTGCCAGAGTTCTATTGACAACTCCTCTCTCCTAGAATGTGACAATCACAGAGCTGACCCACCAGCGGATATCACACTGAACAATCTCCTGACAGCCAGATCACGTGTCAGACGCCATCAGATGCCAATTTCCCTTTTAGTCTTATGATTGTCTTCTATTCAACTATCCTATTCTTTAGCAATTTTAGTAAAATGTTCTTTAGGTGCCAACATTCGTAATGCTTCTTTTTCTCAGCATTATATAAACCAGGTCGCATCTTGTAAAAGAGAACTTTTGAGCATTTGAATACAACTGGTGTTTCTTGGCCTCCAAGGTTGCTGGGCCTTGTAAGGTTGCAAAACTGGAGGTTCAGTGTAGCTACTGTTGGTAACCCTCTATGAGTCTTTTAGGAATGCCGACCAGATCAGCAGTGGACCCTAGAAGTCGTCTCTATTTTTTCATATAATAGCAGTTAGCTTGGGCTAGCAACAATAGGCATGCACTCATTGGGTGCTTTGGTATTTCATTTCATTCATAGAATGTTTGTGTTTTATTTGATGGTTACAGGAAAGTGTTGTGACCATGTGAACCAGTTGAAACCACATGACCCAGCCATGCACTCACTAATTATTAGCATGTTTGTGACTTATTTGAGGGTCACACGGAAGTGTTGTGTCCATGTGAACTCATCAAAATAAAGAATCAGTCAAGCATGCACTCACGAGGTGATTTGATTTTTCAATTGATTGATAGTGGACTGTTGAAATCAGTCAGTTTTGTTAGTTTCTTTATTTACTTTTTATTATATTTCTGTTCTTTAGTGCCGCAGTGGGCTTTCTTGTACTTTTACTCCCTTTTACTATTAGTTGGGACACTCTAATATAAATACCAATGACTGGTGCCGTTAGCCACTGATTTTGGTCCCAGAATTTTTTCTACCTCTCTTCACTCCTTTCTCTCTCTTATTCTCCTTCTCTGTTTCTCTGACACCTTTAACCCAGAAAACATGGTATCAGAGTGGGCTTTCTGGGTTAGAAGCAGTGCGATAAAGTCCTCTCAGTTTTCCTCTGCTGTGGATCAAATCTGATCAAGGAGTGGATCGGACTGATCTGAAGGGGTTTCTTCTAGTCTTTCTTCCCTTCTTTCTTGGTCGTGTGCCAAGAAACCCTTAAAGGAAGGGAACTCTGATGCTGTGAAGGCAGGTCTGCTTACTTCTGTGGATCGTGTGATCCTTACTTGTACCCAGGTAAGTGGGTTCTGGGGGTGATGTAGGTCTAAATGACCTGTGACTGTGTGACAATGGTTGCTAATGTTTCTTGGGGAATTACAGTAGTTGTGTGCCCAAGGAAATTGATGAAGGGGTACATATAAAGGCAGCCTAGCTTCGGAATTGTCTTTTTTTTTTTTTTTCCATCTCTGAAATGGTTTTCAGCAGTGTGCAAGTAATTTTTTCTTATATGTGTGTGGTATCCCTATGACCTTTTTTGACTGAACTGTGGACTGAACTGTTGACTGAGTTGTGACCGAACTGTGACTGAATTGTGGCTGAACTGTAACTGAACTGAACTGAACTGAACTGTGAAATCAGACCTTATATCATGTCATCTGAGGATTCTATTGTGTCCAGTCGGTCCTCCAGTGAAGCTGTCAAGGTGGAGTGAGTGGAGGATTTGACATGAGTTTTCCCATGGTTGTGATACCGTTTGATGGTTTCAATTACCTAGAATGGTCAAGGGCAATTAAACTGCATATGACTGTCAGGGAGAAGGTGGGCTATATTAATGGTAAAACCAAAGAACCGAAGTCTCAAGGTGCAGAGCATGATAGGTGGGACCAGGAAAACAGCATGGTGATGTCATGGCTGTTACTTTCTATGCTGCCTCCGGTCAGGAAGACATTCATGTGGGCTGAAACAACTGTTGAGATTTGGGAGCAGGCAAAATCTACCTATTCAGAGAAATGCCATTATGCCAAAATATACCAGTTGCAAGCTGCCTCCTCTACTTGTAAGAAGGGGGAGAGGAATCTCTCAGCCTACTATTCAGATTTGACATCAATTTGAAAAGAACTGGACCACTATCAGAACATAGACTGGATGCTAAGGCCTACAAGTCTTTGGTTTCCCAGCAACAGCTCTTTGCCTTTTTTTTGGGGCTGAACCCTGTATATGAGTCTCTTAGAGTTCAGATATTAGGAAGTAAAGATCTTCCTTCAGCACAAGAAGTGTATGCCCAAGTACAGTTCGAAGAGAACAGGTAGACTGTGATGAATAATTCCGAGGGGGAGCAAATTGTCTTAGTGGCTAAAGGGAGTGTGGGTGTAGGTGGCAATAATTCTTTTAAGAAGGGTGACTTCCAGAAGGCCAGAAATACTCGGGATACATGTTGGGACCTCCATGGGAAGCCAAAGTGGGCTCAGGAGTTGAGAGTAAGAAATCAAATCAAATAAGAAGTCAGGACAACAAGGTCAGAAAAAGTACAATACAACAAACTTGGCCTCTCAGGAGTCTCAGCTATCTACTGCTATCAGCCAGGACCACCCCTCTGTAACTGATCCCCGGGAAGATATCATTAATTCTTTCTATGACCACTTGGAGCTGTATGGGAGGACAATCCGCAGATGGATTCTACTCCTTCTGCCTCGACTTCTTTGCATCTACTTTAGGTAATGGTAATTCTGCCATTGCCTTCCATGTGTCCTCCCATTCATCAGATTCCCCTTGGATAATTGACTCTGGAGCCTCAAACCATATGACGGATAAGTCAAATTGTTTTCAATCCTTTATCTTTTATCTGGTAGGGACAAAGTGATGGTTATTTTTCCACCAATAGTTGGTCAAGGAACCGTATCCCTTCCTTTTGGACTTACCCTTTCTAATGTGTTACATGTTCCAAGTGTTTTATTGGAGAGTTACAAGAAAGTTTGTGGCCATGTGAAGACATCATAACACGTATTAGGCTACCTTGGCAATTGTTGATTGTCATAGTAAGGTAGTAGACCTTAAAGGTAGTCTCTATTTTTTCATATATTAGCAGGTTGTTTTTGTATCATTTGGGATAGGAAAAGGGCATGAACTCATTAGGTGATTTGATTCACTTGATTATTGGCATTCCACATTCCTGTGTTTTATTGTATCATTGCAAGAAAGTGTTGTGACCATGTAAGCTCATTGAAATCAAATCACCCAAGCATGCACTCACTAGGTGATTTGGTTTTTCATTTAATTGATAGCATGTTTGTGTTTTATTGGAAGGTTGCATGAAAGTGTCATGGTTTTTTAAACTAATCACTCAACATGTTAGGCTACCTTAATATTTCTAAACTGTCATAGTAAGGTAGTAGACCCTAGAGGCATTCTCTATTTTTTCATATGTTAGTGGGTTGTTACTTGTTAGTGAATCATTTGGGTAGAAACAGTAGAATGTACTCACTAGATAATTTGGTTTTTCATTTGATTAATAACATATCTGCATTTTATTAGAGAATCACAAGTGTTGTGACCATGTGATCGCATCACATGAAACTGAATCACCTAGGCAAGCACTCACTAGATGATTTGGTTTTTCAGTTGGTTGATAGAATGTTGTGTTTTATTGGGGGGTCAAAAGAAAGTGTTGTGACCAATGTGAACTCAAGCTATTTTTGTATTCTTGATTGTTGAAGTAAGGGAATGGACCCTATAAGCATAGTTTTCAAGGCATTGCAGCCAGGTTAGGTGTTGTTCCTTTTTGGAATAAAACCCATCCTTCACTATTAATTGTCACCTAATCACATAGGTGATGGTTTTTTTTTTTTTTGAATAAAAAACATGAATCCTAGGGTAATTCCTTGGGTTTCTTAGCAAGCAACAACCATCTTTTGCTATTAATTGTCTATAGTCTTCATAAAAAATGTAAAATTTTCATTTGAAACATAGAAAATCAACATATTCATGGTTTAAAATTAATTTGACTTTAAATAAAATGGCTCCAATTGCAAACAAGGTGGGAAACAATAACAAAAAATAAAAGACGTACAGCTTTAAGAAAGTGGAGTTATATATTCAACTATTAGTAAAAGCATCTTCACTTGGGATACAAAGGAAAAATATAAAGGACAAACATAGAAAACAGTTTATTTACTATAAAATACATATAAAAATAAATTAAAACAATATTTCCATGCAACCTGAGCAGACAAGAAATAAATAACCTATCATAATATTAGCATTGAATAAAAGCAAAGAGAGTACCTCCTCTGGAGACACACCAGCATCTTCAAGGCTGCTCTCAATACATGAAGAAACACCAAGTCCATCAGCTCTTGGATCAGTCATATGATAAGCATCACAGTTAACTGCACCTCCCAAGTATTCAGCAATAATTGGTGCATCACGCTTCATTGCATGCTCCAAACTCTCCATTACCTATGAAGAGAATGACCAAACATTAGCAACCAAGAAGCAAAAGAGACCTTATTACATAATCTAAGACAGCTTATTTTAAGGAATCAATGACTGCTAAAACAAAGGCTTAATGACAGCCAAGCTGGAGCAGTATCTATGTATCACTTAAGTAATAAGTCCAACATAAAGATGTGCCTAGACTACATCTCAACTTGTTTTCCTTTAAAAAAAACTTGGTCTTTCATATAAAGAGTCCCCCCCCCAATTCTTCTCCCTACTATTTATTCATAGATGAAAATTTGTTCCCAAAGGCCCAAATTCCTTGCTATAGAAGTTTGCACAACTATAATTAATTGGGCAGAAGTCCAATAAAAGGTTGAATGTAGGGCTCACTGTGGAATTGAACATACAGTTGAGTGGATCCCCTATCTGATGGACAGTGTGGGACTTACCACATGTAGAAAAGTTCCCTACTTGGCCTAATGGGTGAAAGATGTCATAGATTACACATCCAATGACTTCTCTAACTTACCAACACTCCAGCACCTTCTCCCATAACAAAGCCATCTCGTTCCTTGTCCCAAGGCCTTGAAGCAGTTTGTGGATCATCATTTCTCTGTGACAAAGCTCTGCATGCAACAAATCCACCTAACCCAATGGGAATAATTGCAGCTTCAGTTCCACCAGCAATCATTAGATCAGCTTCACCTCGCCGGATGTGGTTGGCAGCAGCATAAAAACAATAATTGGATGTAGCACAAGCAGTCGAGATTGAATAGTTTGGACCCATGAAACCAAGTTCAATTGCAAGCAAAGCAGACCCCATGTTTGTTATAGCATAAGGAATAAAAAATGGAGTAATTTTCCTGTGACCTTTCTCTATTAGAGCTTTAACACCATCAGAGAACACTGTAAGGCCGCCCATTCCTGTCCCAACAAGCACACCAGCTCGCTCCTTGTCAATCTGTAAAAAACATAGATTGAACAAAGAAGAGAGTGAGGCATATTACATTAATAACATTAATGCATAATCTATGGAATTTTGAGGACAATAAAGCTCCAAAGTGAAGCTAATTTTATCTTACAGATTGTTTTGAACTAAGGCCCCGTTTGGTTCGTGGGAACAAGGGTCTGGAATCGGAATCAGAATGGGCTCTTCCAATTCCAACTGTTTGGTTGGGCGGAATCGGAACCCCATTCCCATTCCTGGTGGAATGGCATTCCCCCATTTGAGGGAATGGCCATTCTCTCCCCCTCCCTTGGGAATGAAATCCCATTCCTGTCAATTCCAATTCCCATTCCCATTCCTGTCTGAACCAAACAGACTATGGGAATAGACCATTTCAATTCCAATTCCAAAGGATTTCGATTCTGATTATGATTCCGATTCCGACTCCGTCTGTGAACCAAATGGACCCTAAAACAAGCATTTGATGATATATCACCAACACATGTACAAGGGCAAATTCACTGGAGTTTTAAAACCTATTATAGAGTAAACAAGAAATCAAGCCATTAGTATATCAATGACAGAGAAATAAAAATTACAAGAAAGCTTTGAAGAAAACTCCCTGTGGAAACAACACAATTAGCAATATTTCATGTAGCTATTGCCTAGTACCTCTACCAAGTAACAGCTCTTTACTCCAATTCAATTTTGTCTATTTGTTTCATGCTCACTCAAACCAAAATTCTGGCTTTTCAGAGGCTAGCCAGTTGTATAGAGCATCCTCTCATGACTAATCACAAACCACCAGATTGATGATGAACAATAGAATGTCAAGAGAGAGAGAGAGCCATCTGATTTTCCATTTGTTGTCTTGATCTACAATTTCTATTATTTCCTTATAATTTTTAATCATTTTTAAATATTACAAGTTAAAAAGAAGAAACTTAGATAACAAAAGAATAACCTAACTCGGGATACACCTTTTGTCTTATCGATGCACTTTATCCAAGAAGATGGGAAACATTATTGGGTCTACACCCAGAGTCATAGGGCTTATAATTCAAATGCCCTTACTTATGTTGTACTATAACAATTAATTGGTCTATAACCAGACTGAAACAATTGAAATAACACCATATTAAAGATGCAGAAACATTACATATCTAAGCAGGGCCTGAAGCTCCAGCTAATACTTTGAACATGATTCTAAACCTTTTTCACAACAATATTTTACACAAAGGCCACACTAAAGAATTGAGTATCGAAAGAAAACACCTCCTACCATGTAACAGCAGAAGTTTTCAAAACTTTTTAAGGTTTACTAATGGTAAAAAAAAATCCCATTGGTTGCGGTTTCTTGAATCCAAGTAGGATGTCTCAAGCACAGCAACTCTATGCAATTAGGGTCCCTAAGACTTCTTCGCAATCTGGTACTTGCTACTTTAAATATGTACAGGGTATAATTTTCACCCCTTGAACCTCAATGATTCACCTTTTAGAGTAAATGGGTGTAAAAGGACATGAATTTATAACTGATGCAAGAGATAACTCAGCCAAGTTCTTCATAGTTCTCATTAATCCAGCGCAAATCCTTTCTGCTTACCTTTCTATGTAGAAAGCCATGGAAAAGTATAAAACCAATAACCTCAATCTTTCTGGGAATCAAGGGGAGTGATTCCATGGTTCAGCCAATTAGAGGTTTACGTCAGTTTTTAATCAGAAATCCAACACCCAATTAAGGTGTTTGAAACAGAAACAAAATTAGATCTTGATCATTTACAGCCCTCCCTCTGAATCATTTCTCTATTCTATTCATGGTTCACTACTACCAGTCTACCATAACTTGTACAGAAAGCGATATATTTGAATCTATAACTCAGATCCAAAATGCAAAGTTCGCAATTACCTCCACGAGTCTGAGAAACATGACATCCTTTTACAAATGTATGATAAGGGAAACCCATCATGTTGAAGAGTTAAATCCAACAGCTAACGAGCGCGAATAACGAAAGAGAAATTACAGCAAACTAGCATCAGAAGTAACGATGTAACAAATGGATTAAACAAAAAGAACCCGAAGGTAATGACCTTGGAGAGGTTGTCGCCACCAAGGCCAGCATTTTCGAGGGCCTTCTTGCCAGAGACGAGGCAGTAACGGAGACAGTCGTCGAGGCGACGGTCGTTCTTGCCGTCGATGTAACCCTGGGAAGTGAACCCCCGGATTTGGCCAGCGAACCTGGTTGGGAATTTGGAAGCATCAAACCGATCGATGAGACTAATGCCGCTCTCTCCGGCGAGGAGACGATCGTAATAGGTATCGACGTCGTTTCCAAAGACGGAGACGAGACCCATTCCCGTGATGACGACTCTCTTCTTGGGGTCAGTCTCTCTCTTGGGGGCTGATGTTGTTGGGGCTACAGCACAGATCAGAGTAGAAGGGTTCTTCTTGGTGGTGGTGGTGGGCTTGATATTGGTGAGTTGAGGAGATTGCTTGCGGAGAGGGTCCAGTGGAGAAACTCGGAGTGTTGGTGACTGGAGGGCCTGCATATTTGCTTCCGCTGCTGCTGTCGCCGCTGCTACCGGTGGTGGTAGTAGTGGTGAATCCGGTGATGCAGAGGTGGTGAGGGGAGTTGGGAGTTAGCTCAGCGCCTCACCCAAATACGGAAGATTTAGAAAGAGCACGTGAGTTCTGAGTTCTTTTCTTTTCTTTTCTTTTTAATTAAAAAATGTGATTGCCTTTCTGAGTTTCTGTTTCCGAGTTGGGAAATGATGACCCACCCACCCGACTACAAACCCGTTTTTCCTGATCCAGATTCAAGCTGTTTAAACTTTAAACCGCGTAGGCATACTCCGAGCAATGGCTCTTTGTTTAATAAATGTTTGATGTGGAATTTATCTTAATAGCCTAGAAAAGTGGTTGATCAACATTTTTCGGCGTCATTATGAGTTGAATAAAAACATTAAAAATTGATAAATAATAATAATAATTATTATCTGATATATTAGTATCATTTTTCAAATAAACGATAATGGAACTAAACACCATCCAAATTCATAATAATTAACCATAATCAAACCATGTTGAAAGCTGAAACCATGAACCCTAACCAAACCAGAGTGCAATTTGGGCATGACGAGATCTGGTTAACTAGGACCAACCCGAATTGTACCTGTAAAGTCTAAACCCAACCATAATGTGACATCATCTATGGATTCGGTCTCTTGGTCCAATTTCCTTACTTCTTTTATCTTTCTGCTTTGAAAGGAAAATGTTTGTTCCCACTTCGGTATATGAGAACAAAGTTATGGTGGTTTAGAAAGAGTGAACTAAGTACGTACATGTAAGAAAGGATTAGGTTTAAATTATGGGTGAAGTTTCAAGTGTCATGCGTATTGTATGGTCTTGATTATGATGCCCAAACCAAAAGATATGATAGAGAAAAAAAGAATTATAACTAATCAACTGGCTCATAAAAGCACTAACCATGACATTCATGGGGGGGTGTTTATTAATCAAAAGTCTGGTTTACTCAATTAAAACTTTAGGCATGACCACATACCAAGTACCGAATTATTTCATTAACATTTTTGAACCGTGTGTTTGTGATAATTTTAATCGGTCTCACCATGTATCTTCTTATTCGGTTGAGCATACATCTATTATTTTAAATTTTATTTGAAAATGTAATTAACCACTTTTAAAATGTTGTTTTCTGAAAAATTAAAATACTACGTATCTCATATATATATATATATCATGGTTTTTAAAAATGAATCGGTGATCGAACCAATCAGGAGTCTGGTTACCGGTTCAACTGTTCTACCCGAACAGCTGGCCCATTCTAACAAAAAAATAAAAATTAAAAAATTAAAAAACGATAAAAATCGTTTGAACGGTTCAAACGACTAAAATGATTAATCGACTGGTTCAGCGGTTTGTTGATCAAAATCAACGGTTTTGGAGGAAAACGAAACCAATCAAGTGACCGATTCCCGGTTTTTCTGGTCCAATCCGGTTTTGATGTATATATATATTATATATAATTAGCTGGCACCTTAATTAATGAAATTAATTAATCGACAACTTTGGCCAACGGCCAACCCACAAACATTGGCAACTCGCAGCCGCAGGCGACAGGTCTAAATCCGAGTGGGTCTTTTCACAAGCAAAATATAGAGGTTGTAATCTTTCTTGCCACGTGGCAATATTCACGTGAATAACCTTGAGCTAGCTTGGGATGTACCGGATTTCTTTTTTTTTGGGGGGGATTGAAACAGTGTTGGATATTCTTATGACTCCTAAGGCCATACCACTACCAGGGAAGAGAGTTCACAGGCTTAGAAACAACCTTCTAGAAGTAATCACAGACGCGGAAGAATAATTGCTCATAAAAGGTGGATTATGTTTTTATAAAGGCATCAGAAACTGATATTCACAAACACGTTTGGCTAGGGCTGAGCAAACGGTTTGTTCGGTTTAAAATCAAATTTTTGGAATGTGGTAATCAAATCAAAACCGAACAAACTGAACTGAAATTTTTTTTCGGTTAATTCGGTTTTTTCGATTAAAACCAAAAATTGCAAAAACTGACAGGAAATTACAAAAACTGCTCATATCATGTTAAGCTTAACTCAGTAGAAAAAACTTTGTTGTTAAGCTTTAACAAAGCAGCTATGTTGTTCAGGTATGGGCTTGCAGCCTTGCACCCACCAAGCTCAACAGTAGTTCAGGACTTCAGTGTCCAGGTATACAATCACAAAGGACCGGTTACCGGTAATCCCTTGGGTATTGACTGTTAATCAGTCTGAGAAAGAACTTCTACAAGAGAAAATAGAATCAAGAGATAGAAATCGAACATATTATTAATATAACCATCAAGAGAAAAGTTGTATACATCTTCTTAGAGATGGAAATCTAGCTGCTTTCAATTCCCTTCCATCCAACATGAAGAGAGCACATACCAAAGAGAAACATCACACCAAAAGCAACCCAGATCTTCTCAGAGAAACGCCGTCAAATCTGCATTCAATCCTCTTTCAGAACTTGGAACCATCTCAAGATGTTTATGCCCTGCATGTTTACAACAGTACACAGACAAAGACAGTACCGATAAATAGAATCACAGTATGGGCTTGCAGCCTTGCACCATATTGAACTCACTGTTTTAGGGATGCTCTGCTATGTAGTGGAGCTAAGTTCATGTTTCATTTACAAAAAAAAAAAAAAAATAATAATAATAATAAAAATAAATAAAATAAAATCTTGCATTATGCTTGTTTGTAAACCATAAAAATAACAAATCTTGCATCATAAACCCAACAAAACCATGAATAGGTGGTCCAAGTACAAACCAAACATATCATAAACAAAATAAAATAAAAAAACAAATATTGCATTTATGCTTGTTTCTCCATGTTTTTCATGTTCTCCATCACTCGATGTTCTTTGTGTTTAACCTATAAGAGGATACATGATATTTAAAAATTATAGTACAAATCTAATATATTATGCAATGCAAGTATGAAATTTAAAAAACCTATCAAGTACAAGCACAAAAAGGGATAATTAAATATCAATCAGCAATCACTATTGGTTTTGATGTGACTGTTAACCTTTGATAAGTTTGAAAATTGAAGAAGAAAATTAAAAAACACTCATCTACAAATCATAAAGGTTAAACAATTATGATTTATGAAGAGAAAAATGGCAAATGACATGAAACTTAAATTGAAAAGATTGTTACCATTTTCAATTTATCAAGCTCCTCTATGTCTTCTTCAACATTAATGGCATATTGTGATGTTCGGATCCAATCTTGAGCACATAGAAGTGCTTCTGCTATTTTAGGAGTCAAAAAACTCCTAAATACATCAAGCACTTGTCTTCCAGTGCTAAAAGTAGGCTTTGAAGCAACTGTAGAGATAGAAACTACCAACACATCCTAAGCCATTTGTGAAAGGATGGGAAATTTGGGACAATTAACTTTCCACCATCCTAGGATATCAAAGTCATCATTTTCCTCTTCAGTATCTTTATTTAAGCATCTATTCAACTTTGATTTGTTATGTGCCCCTTCATTCTTTGACTTGTACTTTTAAATTGAGACATTGCCAACATCTTCCTTACTTGGGATGATTGTTCACCCTCTGTCTCACTTGAACCTGAACATTGGGTTTTATCACTAGTATGCCCATTTTGAGGTGCAATCATGTTCTTGTATTCATTATACAAATCATACACCAACTTCCTTAACTTTTTTCACAAGCTCTTCACCCTTGGCACCTTCATACATATCAGTAAGGGCAAACTCCACATACTCTAATTTCTGGCGAAGGTCAAGAATAGCTATAATATAAATCAATTTATTTATCTTTTCAATGTTTTCCCATTACTTATCGTACTTTCCTTTCATCATCCCTGCCATTTCTTTCAATTCTTTGTTCTCACTACATCCCCACTCTCTTAAAAGGTAATCAACTGAATAAATTTCTTGAAAAAAATGTTAGATGTGCAATACAAAGAGCTTAAAACCCGCAATGTGAGATCATAGAAGTGTTGTAGAAATAGCATTAGCCTCCTAACATAGGACCAATCAAAATCATTAGGAACCCCATGACCATCCCCCATCTCAAGTTCACTTCTAAAATAAGGATCATGATCCTCAAATCTCTCAAAGGCTCTTTCAAACTTTTGAGCCGTCTCCAACATTAAATAGGTTGAGTTCCATCTAATACTCACATCTAAACACAATAAACTCTTACTCTGAATTTTTTCAATCTCAACAAACTCCTTAAACTTTTGCAACCTTGTTGGAGACTGCCTCACAAACTTCACTGCTCCTTGAACACGATTAACAGATTCACCCATATCTTTTAAGCCATTATTAACAACCAAATTTATAATATGTGCAATACATCTCATGCAAAGCAATTTTCCATCTAAAATGCTAGTTCCCCAATTAGCAATTTTTTTTCTTTAAAAATGCAACTGCAACATCATTTGAACTAGCATTATCAACTGTAATAGAAAAAACTTTATCAATCCCCCATTCAAGTAGACACTTTTCTATTGCCTTACCAATAGCCTCCCCTTTGTGACTAGAAATTTGACAAAAATTCAAAATTTTTTATTCAATTTCCAGTCATTATCAATAAAGTGGGCTATTAAACACATGTAATTAATCATTTTCAAGGAAGACCATGTGTCAGTTGTAAGACAAACCCTTCGATATGAATTTTTTAATATATTCTTCAACTTCAACTTTTCATCCAAGTACAATTGATAGCAATCTTGAGCATCAGACCATCTAGATGGAATATGAAACCTTGGACAAGAAAGTGTCATAAATTTCTTAAAGCTCTCACTACCCACAAACTTGAATGGGAGCTCATCAATAATGATCGTATGGGTTAACCCCTTCCTAATAGCCTCTTGATCAAATTTCCAACAACTAAGGCCAAAGAGACTCATATTCTCACTATCTCCTTCCTTTGAGTTTGGGTGCAAATTCAGTTATGCTTGTTTCATATCCAAGTTATAAGGGTTCTTCTTGCATATATTCATGTGATTTCTTAGTGAGCCAGTCCCATTTTTTTTAGGGCCACAACAAAATTCCCTATCACAGTAGTTACATCTAGCTTTTGGCTCACCATTATCTAAAACAAACTTAGAGAAGCGTT